TTTGTAAGGTTGAAATACAACGTTATGGTCAGTTTACAACATTCTTAATATGCCTCACAGCAACTTGGCCTTGTCGGATTAAGACAGCTGCAAAACTGCTGAGATTTTGCAATACAATCTTTCAAAAGTTACATGATATGCTTTTTGCAAGCTTGCGTGATATATGGAAATATATAAAAAACCTTATATAAATCGTTTTATACGTTATGTTATAAAGAAAAACTTTTTACATTCGGTACTTTATACTTGTGCTATTTTGTTGCTGGGATTATTGAATGTAGTGTTAATCTAGATTTCATTTCTAAATGTATTTAGGAAAAATCAAGCTCTAAGTATTGATTGTGTCTATACTATCAATTTGAATGTACTAAATAGTTAATGAAGTGAAACTTACTTTATTGTATCAGTTAATGTGCATGCAGCACTTCAATGAATGTTTCTTTATATTTACATGTAAAAATTTCAAAATTCAGTAAGTACATTTTGCAAAAATTTATAGATGTGTAATCGTTGACTTTATTAATACTTCATTAATTTGAAGACCGAGTGATAGAATCATTATTATTATTATTTTTATAGATATGTACTTGAGAAGATAAATAATAATTTGTTATATACTTATACAACAATGTAAAGACTTTTTTATTCATTTTATTTGTTTACTTCAGCTTCTCTTGCATAATAATGAAGCATATAGAATTAATTAACAGGTGTTTAAAAATATGTAAGTTGTTCTTTACAATAAAAGTGAATTTCACTCTACTAACATTTAAACTAAAAGTGTCAATTATTATTTAAAAAAGCAAATTATTTCTATTTATCAAAAAAATGTGAATTAATATATTTTTAAAAGCAAACTCATTTTTAAAAAATTGTTATGAAAATAAATTTGTTTTATTTAGACACAAGTCTTAAATTTTAATCTGTATAATTAATTAATTCCTGTACAATATGAAGTAATTCAAATTGGTGCAGGGTTTGTTACATTCCTCACAAAATTAAAGAAACAAAATACCTATAATGATTAAGCTTGTAAGGAAAAGTTTGAAACTGAAGATTTGTAAATTAACAAAATATGTTAATATTTTCATGATTTGTGAATATTTAAATTGAATAGTTCATTAAATTAACTATAAAATTTATTTTTACCGAAAAACGTTAAAAAATAAATAAGATAATAAAATGTATTGAAAGTTTACAAATGTTTACGATACTGCACAATAAAGATATAATTAATCTTAGGCATTATTATAATTACTCTTTTAAATTCAACAAATTTATTGTGAAACTTTACTGAAATTTTGTTAAAAAATTTTCAGGAAAGTTTTACGCTACATTTTCGCTTATATAATAGAGAAGTCGGAAATGTGATTTAAATGTTCAGGAAAGTTTTAAGACAAATTTTTAGGAAAATTTAACGATAAACATTTATTGAAGTGGGACATTAAATCTTTACACAATTTTCACTAAACTTTGCAAGTAAATTTTTCAAAGTTTGCAATTAAAACTTTAATAAATTTTTAGGAAAAGTTTCGGTACTGTCTGGGTTAGTAGAAGATAGACATATTGATTATTAACAAAATTATCTTTAAAACAAACCCAAAAACGTTAAAAAGTCTTTAATATTGTAGAAATAATGTAAATTTTAATATATTATTGCAAATTCAACTTCCTTTGTGATATCTTACTTAAGAATTAACAGAATCCTTTTGATTCAGGTTTATTTTTAGCTCTATCTTAATAACTTTAAATGTCTTACAGTCAATAAAATATTTAGTTATGTATAACAATTTAGAAAATACACCATTTTTTACAGTAATCAAAAAAGGATTTTCTACTTGATACGGATAGTGTACATATTCTACTAATACTAATGCTAATTAAAAGTTCTTTTTCTATTTTAATTATATAACTTAAAATACATAATTCTATACTATAATACTAATAAAAATTTCAGAAACCATTAAAAATTTTGTAAAAACTTAGGTTCGTGGTTTATGAAAAGCACATTTTAACTATAACTATTTAAGTGATCAAAGAATTATAAACTTCATAAGAGATCAGAATAATTAATTTATAACCCTTAGTGGAAATGGTTAGTGGTCTATTGATTGAAGCTCGATTTCCTTCTTCCTGTCAGACCGAGACATTATCAACAAAGAATTACATCAGAAATAGATGTCCTGGGAATAGATTTAATGGGCCAGCCCTTTATGAAATTTAGATAGGAATTCCTGATAAGAACTTGAAATTTGCAATACGATAGGAATCTTAATGGCCTAACTGAGAGGAAAATGTTTATGAACACTCTATAGTTCTTGAAAAAAGATCTCGAGATCGTAGTGCAAACAGAACAGAAATGTAGCAAGATCCCAGTGGAGATTAGTACGTTATGTATAAGACATTTAGGGCCAGTTTCATCAACACTGATTAAAAGTTAATCAATAATTAAATCTTCAATTAACCAATCAGAAGCCTTTAAACTGGCTTTAATCATTGATTAACTTTTAATCAGTGTTGATGAAACTGGTCCTTAATGTTTTAGGAACATTAACATAGAGGTTCATTAAAATTTTGGATATTACCGAAATTCTTGCCTGACGCGGTAACGTGAGAACATGAAGCTCGTGAGTACAATCTCTACTTCTGGGAGCACCCTTGATAAGAGATTGGCCCGATGTCCTCTTTCACCTGTTAGAATTGAAGAGCACCTCGAGCCAAGTCGGTAGACGATCTGATGATCTGGGATCGTGTCGCGAGGTATATATTAGCAACGCAAGGAGAACGAGTGGTGGGGGGAGCGAAGGCAGGCTGTGCAAGTTTCGTGCGCGATCGTTTACTCTTTTATTGCCTTCACGCTGTACGCGACTACGATGGTTCATTTCGACCATTAGGCGTTTAAAATGCTCAAAACTAGAATTGGCATACTGCACTGACCAAAACTCAGTGTGTCACTTTTAACTAGGACAAAACCCGTTGTATCAAATATTTGTTTTGATGTAGCATTTTTTCTGATATTTTTCTTTCTAGAGCACATAGAACATGTAAGTTGGTCTTCTCTTTCATCATTACCTCCGGAAAGAACATAGACTTCAAGTCCACAAAGATGACATTTGTGAACAACTGATGAATCTTTATCGTTGTCAATGACATTGTCAGCCTGCATATTTTCTAATTTCTGATCTTCAATGTTTTCAGTGTTAAGGTAGTTTCTCGGCTGCTACTCTTGTAAAAATTGATTTTTGGTAGATTTTCTTTAAATCTTGAGAAAATGTTTCTTCGGATACCCTTTAAATTTGGTGAAAATTTCAAAACCCTTTGCCATGTCAAATAACGAGATATTGTGGTTGACATTTTTTATTTTTAACATAATCGCATGTAAAAGTTAAAGTTTGAACTTGAATAACTCAAAATTGAGCATCGCAAAGGGTTTTGAAATTTTCTTCGGTTTCAATCGAAGAATAAACTTCTTCTGACAATAGCGAATCTCCTAATCCAAGTTTTTGAAGACAACCGAACATTGCATTATAGGAAATTGTGTTTGCAGTATGAAGAACTCCATTCAAATTGCCACAATTTCTTCATTTTACACTTATATATTTGTAATCTTATAGTGATTGATAAAACTGCTGAATATATACTAATTAACATGAATTATGGATTCGTATTACAAAGACAAAGTCTTTGAATCATAAGGCTAGGAAATGACAGAGACAGAAAAGAGGGAGATGACGTGCTACACTAAAACAAATATTTGATACAACGGGTTTTTTTTTGTTAAAAAAATCTGCAAAAATTTTTTCGTTGTAGTCTTCTTTAAATTATATTTCCAATAATTTGAATCTACTGTAGCAGGTATTGGAAACATCTGTAAACCATTTTCACATGAATTTAAAATTTCAATGAATCAGAAAATAATTAAATTAAGTGTTTAATTTTTTACTTAGAATATTTTAAATTGTGATTTAATTTTTCATATTTTAAATACTAAATTTATGCACTGGTCATCAAGTCAAGATTGCGCCTACACTTTGAAGTATACAAAAAAAATTAATTTTGTGTATTTTATATAAAATTTCTGGATCCAGTGGATTTAATCGCTGATGAATCTGAGTTTTGAAAAATGCGGTGAATATCAGAATAAACGTTAAAAATATTTAGCTGAAATAGCAAGACATTATTTACAGTAAAATTTTCTAGAATTTATTCTGTAATATTCACTACATTTTATAGAATTCAATCTCGTAAACGGTTGTAACTGGTCTAGAAAAGTTATAAATAACTAGAAAAATTAATTTTTTAGATGTATATCAATCGTAGTTTGAAATTAAGATTAAATATTCCAACCAGAGTTGAATTTGTTATATTTAAAAAAATGTGTCCAAAATATATTTATCTTTTTTAGTTCCATAAAGGTTACTCAAAATTATATTAAGTCTAATAATATATTATAGAAAGATAGATTTTGCAATCAAAGTACTGTATAACTACGCGTACTTCAGACAAATACTACCTACAAGAGTTTATGCTGCAAATTTCTGTTTCAAATAAAGATTTTTTCTTATCTATATATCCTGAATTATTTATGTTCAATATTTATTTATTCTTTAATATTTTGTTGAGTCATTAGATTTACTATTTGTGAATCCTTATTTTAGGAGAAAATTCATTTAGAATGAGTAAAAGAATGATATATATTTTTATGAAGACTTTAAAATGATATTCTACATTACTTTAATTCTTATACCCTTATTGTTATTCTTAAACCTGCGTTATATATTGGCGTAAATACTAAGTTTAATTAAGCATAAAGATTAGATTTATAAAAAAATTTTCTTTCACTAAAATATGTATATAAATATAATTTCAGCTCTGATTGTAATAAGGATGCTATGTAGGATTTTAGCAGATATTAAAAACTAAAATTATAATATAGAAATTATTTTAAATGAAATGATAAAAAAATATATGTAAATGTTATGATAAAATATAAGTACTACCGCCTGGGCTGCAGGGTATTGCCCGGCACTATCGTTATCGATAAGATCGTTATCAATCTGTAAAATAAAGAGAGAAATAAAAATAAGACTTAGAGTTTGAAGATCCTTCTGTAGAGCTTGCATAAATAACCCAATATTAAAGTTGAATAAAAACATGTCTAAAATTAAAAATAAGTTCAATTTAATTTAATCTGAAATTAATTCTAAAACTTTACTAACATAAAAAAGTGTTCCAATTTTGACTATCATGAAATTGAATAAATAGGCTAATCAATATTTATCCAAGTTTCATTACAGTAATCAAATACTAAGGATGACGAAGTAATACACAGAGCAGTCGTCTAGTCTAATAGAAATTTAGTCTCAATTTACAAGACCCTATAAAATAGAAATATATTTTATTCTAATAATTTATGATTCTAATTGTATATCAGTAAAAAAGGACGAAAAATAATTAATGAACATCGTGTAAATAATTATCTATCGATTATTCATCGGAGAAAATAATTTTTATTATAACAATAAATAATATATATTCTCCAGATTTCTCGTCCTTTTTGCGCTAAACTTAAAGCTGCTTTTTTAAAATAAAGTTAAAACTGAATATTTGCCTTTGTTCTTTACCTTTAAAATTCTTCCATAATAAACAATAACCTGATTATAATTCAGTTGGATGGAAAACTTTCAGATTTTTGGAAATTAACCTTAAAGATTTTTAAACTTTGTTATTTTTTAAATATCAGATTGTCGATAAATGGAAATATCAGCAAAATCAATATTGGAAACAGGATTGCGGGACAAATAATTACTTATTTAACATTAAAAATTGTTTTAAACTAATTTGTTTAAACAAATTATTACAAATAAATTTAAAATTGTTAACTTTTTAAAAAAATAACTGAAGAAACATGCATAACTTTTTACAAATTTTCACTCTATTTATTGTAAATAATTTATTAACAAAAATGCACTCTGATGAGCCCATGCTAAAACAGTTGTAATTATCAGCAAGTCAATATTGTCAAACACGACTGCGGAACAAATAATTAATTTTAATGTTAAAAATTGTTAAAAAAATAATTTGTTTAATAAATTGTTATAAACAAATGAAAAAAGGTGTTTATAACATTTTGTCCAAACAAATAATTTTTCAATAGCTTTTAACGTCAAAAGTAATAATTTGGACGGCAGTCCTGTTTTTAATATTGATTTTACGAATATTTTCATTTTTTTAACCTGAACTTAGGTGGATGCATCGTTTACACTTTTGATTAACAAATTATTTACAACAAATAGAGTGAGAATTTTTTAAAAAGGCACACATATTTTTTTTACGTAAAATTAAGTAGCGAGGTTAATGTTTAAAAATTTATCAATTTTTTTTTCATTTCTTTATAAGAATTTGTTTAAACATATTATTTTTTAAACAATTTTTAAAGTCAAAAGTAATTATTTGTCCTACAGTCCTATTTCCAATATTGCCTTTGCTGATATTTCTATTAGTTTAAGCATGGGCGTTAATGGATTCAGGGGAAGGGTTATAATCTAAACGAAATGTTTAAAGAGGACCCAAATGAAATCTTAAATTATCAACTTTAAGGCCCAGAACTGAAAGATGATTAACAATCGATAGGGAGGTTATTATAAAAATCGATTTCCATATAACTAGGTTGACTTAGAATTTGTTACTTAGAGGTTCTGAACTTACTTATAACATACCGAAAATTAGATTTAGAAAATTCCAACTAACAGATTTAAAATTTTCAAAATTAGTAATTTATACCTAAATATTTTGGACGCTATTTTGAACTTTTTAAATCTAACTGTTAGCTTATCATTAACAACCATAGAAACATCCTAGTAACAAATCCCAAGCAAATCCAATTATGGAAATCGATTTTTTTCATAACCTTTCTATTTAATCAATTTTGACTATTTGAGATAGAGATTTCCTGATAAAAATAAAATAAAATTTAAAAATATGTCAAGCCCTTTTCACACACCAGTTTATTAGACTGATAAATTCTGAGTTGGCGCTGACGTCGAAGTAATCAATGTTGAGTTTTATATAATTTTTAAATATTATCACTGTTTTTATTTAAACATAATTCATTTTCTCTTGAATTTTATCTTTTTTCATAAAAAACTAAAATTTTTATATGTGCTATTAAATTTTTGCGTTCAAAGATTTACTTTTTAAAAAACTGTTATGTATTACGCACAAATTTTTCCTTTCCAAAATATTTAAAATTGAACAAAGGCATATATTCAGATTAAAGAAAGGATAAGTAATGCATATTGGTACAATTAACTTGTTACTATTTTTTCAAATAAAAATATATTGGACCATATTATTCACATGTTTTACACACAATATTTGCAGCAGACATTTGCATAACTTACTTGACCACCAGTTCCTTCTATTTGACCAAACCTTGTTGTTCGCCAACTTTCAAGAATCAGTAGACCACTGTATATTTTGCCAACAGTAAGCTTGCTTTTATTTAGTTCTGCAATCAGAAAGAAAAGAGTGTGTCTTCACTTTTTTGTGTTTAATCATTAATAACTGTCGTCAGTAAGGAATTTATTTTTAAATGATTACAATTTTGTAATTTCTTATCAATCAAGACTTCTTTTTGCCCCGACCTTGTACAATGCATGTTATTTGCTATATTATATCGTTACAAATTGCAACACTTGTTCATGTCGTTGGTTATATGCAAGTGTCATGTGTAACAATAGAAACATTTTAAATTCAAATATTACCTTCGGTTCTAGGTATCAATAGGTCCAACATCTTCTTAGCCTGCAATGGCCAAATATTTTTTATGGTTTCCCTAAGCTCATCATCTGCTTGGTCCATCTCAGATGCTGCAACAACAAATTACACACAAACATTGACGTCTAATAATATTTTCGAAACCGTTTAAATTTTGTTAAAATATATAATATGACTCACCATTTCTCATCTTGATGCTAAGATTTTCTCTAATCAAGGCAAACAATGTTGTAGTAAAATTAACTTTCCCATCCACGTCGACTGGCATATTCATTCTGATGAGCTTCTTATAGGCAAGCCTATTTGGACACTTATTTCCAAATCCCAATGGAGGATCCATATTCTTGAGCATGTCGTACATTTCAGAATAGTGAATTTTCCCAGTTGCATTTGGATCATATTCCGCCCATATTCTAACAAATTCGTCCAGATGATGAGCTCCCAAAATTGAAGAATCACGAGTGAGGTAGTCAAAGTTATCCATAATGACAGCGACAAACAAATTTAACATGAGAAAAGAGCAGAAGAAAATGAATGATACGAAGTAAGCGTAAGCAAGATTTGATCCACATGTTTCCCCATCACCCTTCTTGGCGTTGGCATCACAAGGACGATCTTTCACACATGCCAACATTATATTTGGCCATGCTTCACCAGTAGCACATCTATAATAGTGACAGAAATTTCACATTATTATGATTGTGATATTAATACATTTCTTAAGTTTATGGATTTCTTATTTCTTATAGTAATCAATTCAATTTTATATAATTATACGCCTAAAAACAAATTACGAATTTTTCAATTTTACTTTGAAAAATAATTAGATTTAAGATTTATTTATTGAATTTGTAATCTATTGCTTGCAATGGTTTAATATTGTACACGGAAAAAAATCAGCCTAATAATGCATAGAGTCTATTGGTTCGATTTTCACATGAGCCCATTTTGCAAATATCACACAGGAGTTTACTAAAAATGCATGGCTCGTGTGACTTTTGCTACAGCACCATGCGAAAATAGGATGGATTCCAAGCTAATCACGCATGGTAGTGTGCGTGCAATATACGCAACAGACGCTCATGTGTTTTTAGCCCAGTATTTTTTTCCGTGTAGAAGAATTAAATTTAAAATACCTGTACAATATTGCTCTGATCGAAGACACCACGAACTTTTCAAAAGAGCTTTTTATTTTAATAGAATTTGCTTTAAGGTTAAAATAATTTTGGAAGGAAATTCAATATATACTAAATGACACTAAGTAGAATTTAGTTTACATTTTTCAAAAATTTAAGGATGTTATTCTAATTTAGAGCAGTTACTGTTTTCACTAAATAAAGTAACTCTTTAAGATACTACAAAAACTTCCTTTACTATATAAATATGCTTTTTCACAAGGAAGCGTCTACATTACATTCAACGATGCAATATTGTAGAAAATGCTGCTGAATTACCATTAAGCATAAACTACCTTAAACTACACTACTATCATTATTACGGCTAAAATTTTATGAATTCTCCTTCATTTTTTAATATTTATCTTTAAAACAACCTATAATATTACTAAAAATACTTATTATTTCAAATAACATGTTAAAGGTAATAATTACTCGTTGATTCAAAGTGATCATTTCCTTTAATGATGAAAATCATTACATTAATATTTTTAACTTGCAACAATTATCAGACTATACGAAATTTCCAATATCCAACGTTTTTGCTGGATTTAAATGAGGATTGAAAGTACTTGAAATTGAAATGAAGATAATTTTAGTATCTTCGTTTTAAAAGAACAAAACACTTGAGAAATGTTTATTTGCTTGCAAAATATGTTTAAGAATTTTAATTTAAAATCCAAAGCTTTGTTATATTAAAGTATATTCAAAACCTCACTTACACCAAGCAAGAAGCAAGAATATTATGAAAAGTTGTAAAAGTCAGAAATTTTGTTGGTTGTATTAGATAATACAAGTAGATTTTTATTTAATAAAATTATCTACGCTAGAAATTATTTACGCAAAATTTATTAAATTTTTCCTATGATTTCTGAAAATACTTTAAATTTATTATTTGTGATATATTTGTAAGTATTGATACCTCCATGATAAAACAATTTCGGTTGGTCGTCCAAAACAACCGAACTATAATTTCTCCTAACAATTTCATATTTTATACATTTTTTTATTTAAAATATAACATTTGCAATGAATTCTAAACATAATTTCCAATCAGACGAATCTTATAGATTTGAAATATACATATAAATTTTTACGTTAGATAAGTCTTGGACAATGTTTTTTTTTAAGTTTCAAGTTTGTAATAGATCCAAAATAAGTAAATCACAAATCGTTTTTGCCTGCATTTTATGAAAATCTACATAATTTCTATAATATTGGAGGTTACTGATTTTTCCATTTTTAAATTAATATCCTCAAAGTTTTCCTTATAAAAATACAGTCATTTATTATTTTAAAATCACTGAGAACATACTTCAAGCTGCAATTGTTTTAAAGAATTTTTAATAACCATTACAAATTTTTAATTTTTAGCAATTACGTTATTTCATATTTAAACTTTAGAGTTTAGACTTTAATTTAAAAAAAAAGTTCATTTAATTAATGTCATTCGCTTTGAAGTAATAATGAGTCGTAAATAAAATGACCAAAAATTTCAACACATTATTAATTCCAAAATAACAAAAAATAGCATGTCTGCTGAAATAAAAAAATTCATATCAAATATCTTTCGATTCTTTAGAAAATGGCCCAAAGTAGAAGTCGCTGCCAGTTTTACACTTGGATAATGTTACTTCCCAGTGGGCACAGGGACGTCTTAAAGACGTCCCTTTTTGTCCGCGGACATTCGGAGACAATCATAGTAATGTCTCGGAGTCATCAAAAAGACAACTAAAAGACTTTTTTAAAGTGTTTTGGACGTCTAAAAGACATAAAAGGGACGTCTTTTGGACATCCTTTTCACATCCCTTCAAGATCATAGATAGACATTTATTTTATAACATTTTCTAAGTTGAAACTCAGTAATATTGTATTAAATCTATTTGAAGTTTAATTTTACGTTTTCTAAATATACAGAAATTTATGAAAATTTTTCAAAAGTTGAGTGAAAAAGATATCTTAAAGACATCTAATGACCAAGACATAGAACATTTATAGGACGTCTTTAAGACGTCCTCAAAAAGACATCCTTAGGACGTCTTTTAAACAAGTGTGCCCACTATGGTTTTGTTACGCTGCTGACCAGTTTTTGTTCTGTGACTTTCCAAAATATAGGTGAGCATCTCACCGAAGTACAACTATTCGACAGTAACGCGCCCAAAAGTATAGCCCAGTAAAAAAAGTACACTGGAACCCCGCTCGTGCAAAGGCTCAATCTTTTTTACGTCCACCGAATACAGTCCTCTTTTAGCATTAGAATTATGATCACATGAACAGCGAGTACACATAAATTGAAAGTACAATTGAGGGCGTGGAACGGATAACTGCCTGTATAGCGCATGGTCGAAAGGGACTATACCAGTCAGACAATGGTGAGTGCCTCTAGGCCTCTCACTGATGTCTGACTGGTATAGGGTATAGTCCCTTTCGACCATGCGTTGCAGGCAGTTATCCGTTCCATGTATGAATCAGTGAAGTCGGTAGAGTAGATTCCTGTTACTCCATTTAAGCTTGTTCTTTTTCATTGATTCATATGGTAAATGCAATTTCCTCTGTCAAATGATGACGCTTAATCGAACTGTCAAAAACGAACCTAGTTTTTTGTCATTATTAAACATTTTGTCTTGTACTACGACACAAGTGAGTAATCGTATAACTTTTTGCTTCCGAACTATTTATAAGGTGTTGAAGGGGATTCCTTGTAGAATAAATTTATCACAAAACTGTATTATTATATTAATATTTAATCAAATAATGAATTTTTTAGTGAAAACTTGCATTCTCTTTTCTTTTTCAAATTTATTAATCATGTATAGATGCATATTTCAGCATGGTCCAAAATTACAAAAAAAAAGGTTCCTTAACAAACATGATCGGAAGAGGCCATGCTGGCTATGTGCTACTCCGACTGCAGCTGCTGCCCATGGCATTCCACAAACCACATTGGAAGGTTATTATTTTTTTACACGTTGTATTTCAATCACAGAATAGCCACGAATTTTTTCACGGTGAAATTATCGTTCATAGTATACAAAAAAAATTTTATTACGCTAGGGTCCTTACTCTTCCCCATATTCCCCTACTCTGTTCGTGTGATCATAATGTTTTAATATGAGAAAAAAAATTTTTAATTTTGATTTGTATACAATATTTTGTATAAATCCTCTTTTGAATTTCCGTGCAAAATTTGATTAAGATTTTCATTTAAAATTTGTAGGAAATACGTTGCGCGGAAGTATTGCAGTAATTTTCATTATATCAACTTGCAAGCAACATTGTCTGTCAATATTGAGACAATCTTGAAACAGTAATGTTTCTTTTAAGTACAAAATATTTAACACTATCCGAAAATAATTGGTAATATTGCTGTAACAATGTTTTAATATTGCCAGGCACTCTCGCAAAAGTCTTGATAATAAACTTTACCCCAGTAGCACGTAATATTACAGCAATATTGAGAACACTGTCTTAACATTACCAATATTGCCTCAATGTTTCTGGAATGTTCCCAACATTACGTGCTACTGGGGTAGGGTAATGTTCCAATGCAATATTGGTAATATTACCAGACAAAATTGACGCAAATTTGTTGATATAATTATGTTGTGCTATTTGGGAGTTCAAATTAAGGCGACACTTTTAATAAATAATTAGATTTGTAATCTATCGTAAAAAGTAGCAAAGTCGGCCAATAATAAAGAAAGTATTTTAAAGATCTATTTTCATTTGTTACTTCAATTATGGAGGCATATTTAGCAATAACAGTTATCTATGGGAAAAATTAAGGAAATATATTTTCTCTCTCTCTCTGTAACTGTAAAAAATATTTTGTAACATCCATTTTCTAGTTGTTAATTCATGTAGTGACAGTATTATTATTATTATTATTATTATTATTTTCATGGTCTACAACAAATTTTTCTAAAAAATTTAATAATATTGGCCTACTTTACCCTACTGTAACTGTAACTAGTTTCATACTAATTTTGTTTCTCAGCATTATTTTTTAAAATTTATTAAAAAAGAGTTCCAATAATAAAAAATTATACTTATATTTATAAAACTTTGAGAACAAATTAATTGAAATTGTAACAGATATAAATAGTTGACAGGCTTTTACTTACCTAAAAAGTAGCATCAGACCTTGAATGAAGCTTTGGAAATTGTTGTGCTTGTTAATCGAAAACTTCTCGTCCAAGGCGATGTTGCCAAATACCTGAATTGTATCAGGCAGATAGCCATTGCAAAAACAGAGCGAAAGCACCATTAACGAATCAGTCTCTAAGAATAATTTTTATTTATCATATATATATATTTTATAAGGTATAGAATATCCAACAATGCTATTTTTAATTCGACAATGTAACAATTAAATACTGAATTCATTATAATAAAAAAAATTAGTAAAATACAATGTTAAATAAAGTAATTTATCTGGCACTTCTTTTATAAACGTGATCAATATTCAATTTTTCACATCATATGTCATTTCATTATTTTATAAGATAAATTTTGACTTTCAGTCACATCAAAATATTTTTTTATATTTTATACAGGAAAATATGAATCTTGATCACAATTAATAAAAAGTAAAAAACGTGAGAGGTAAATAATCTCTAAAATTTATTACAATCTAAATTATAGGTTCATGAGTCGCAGCGTTGGACATTCTAGGAAGAAAATCATGTGCTTTCTTTTCTGCTGAGCCATAAAGTCACAAGACAATTTAACTAAATAATCTATAAAATATCTACAATACTTGAGACTATCCTAAGTAATATAATGCCTAAAATACGCCAGCTATTATTAAAAATGACTACAAGTCTAGGGAAGCGCATATAACCTAGACAATTTACAAATATTTTCTGCTGAAATTAATAAATAAAAATGTTAGTACCTTTTTAAACTAATAATAATGTCGAGCAGCCTTATTTCTGGCAGAATTAATTTACTCTTGCCTAAACTAGCATACAGATAATAACTTATAATTACAAATATATTACCATAAGTAAAAGAATCTTATTTGATGATCTAATTTATATAAACTTTCTTTTCTTGGGCTTTAAAGTGTAAATGAAAGATTATTTTGATTTTTAACATATTGTTGCGTGGTGAACTTCGATCAAACGAAATTTGTAACTTTCTCTAACACTTCAGAATCAAGCTGCTCGACTTACCGAAACAGTAACATAAGACCGCCAAAAAAGGATTGAAAGTTGTTGTGTTTTTCAATAGCCATTTCTGGATCGTTTGCCAAATTTCCAAAAACCTATCAATAAAATGTTGTAAGTGTGTGCAATATCTCTTTTATTAATAATTATGTCGAAAATAATTAGCAGTCTCAGTCTGTCGACTAAAGACGCACCTATGATACATGAACTCGTTATATTGTAAGTTGTTCCTGGCATAATAGGATTGGTCAGGACATAACGCAAGTTTAGTTAATGTATACTTTTATTACCCGACTCAAAATATTAATTTGTAATGTTAACTGCAACCTTTAACTATATTTAATAAAAGTTGTTAAAATCACGTCAAGTAATTCACTCTAATGATTTGATTTAAAAGTTGCAGACTGGCATAGGCGATTACATCTTCTGATGATCTAATTTTCTGCGTTAATAAAGTTCCGAGGTTACAACGATGTCATCGAGGTAAGAAAATACACTAGATGCTAGTTCAATAGGAATTACTAGGTCGATTAATCGTTGGAATGTTGCAGGTGCTGATTGTAATCAAAATGGCATGACTATAAATTCGAAGAGTCCCAAAGAGTAATGAATGGCTGTAAAAGGTGAAATTACTTCTGTCAGCTTAACTTGTCAATAGCTGTTTATTAGGTCAAGAGTAGATATTGGATTTGCCTCTTTTTTGGAAACTTTATAAAGTTTTTGAAAGTTGATGCAAAACCTTAACTTAAAATTCTTCCTTTTTATTAAAACAACAGGTGAGTTTCATGTACTAGATGATTTTTAATAACCTTTTGTTAGAATTAAGAAGTAAAACTTTTCGAGTTAAACATAAACACTAATATAGAGTTAATTTAATTTAATCACTCCTTATTTTTACCATGAGTGAAAAGGGGATGTAGGGCCATCATCTTCCGCGCATAGTCACGTAAGTTCTTCAGCTTTTGCGAGGGTAGTATTGAAAAAAGTATCTTACGGCAGTGTAAAGAAGTGAGTGATTGTAAAGAGGAAACTATTAAATACGAAGATTTAGTTGAAGTTGATGCCAATATTTTGTTATTGGTATTTATTTATTTTTTTTTTTTTTTTTTTTTTTTGCTTAGAGACTTTTGGGAAATCTGCCTACAGATACCTTGGATTCCGCACTCCAAGGTTATGTGGGGTTGGTACAATAAAACAGAAGGAGATATTAAAAAAAAAAAAAGATAAATAAATAAATGTTATAATAAATTTTATAAACTGGCGACCTACTACCAGCCCGACCCACTAAAACCTGTTCACATACATTTATTGAAGTTGCTACCATCGACAATTCGACGAAAGAGGGACTATGACAATAATAAATTAAGCAAATATGAAAATTTGCTTTAAATATAATAATAGGTAGTATTTCATTAGGAAAAATGAGAAAAATATTTTATATTTTAAAAAAGAAGATTTAAAAATATTTGAAACTATAGATATAAAAGTCTATGATTGGGTTTTGAAAGGAACGCTTGGTGTTCTTAGTTTGATGAAATCTTCTATTCTTGCTAAATGTGTATAGTTACATTTTTTGAAATTTGAAATTGTTCTTTTAAGACTTCTTAACATACACAATATGCCATGTAAAACCTTCTTGATCAATTATTATATTCTAAAATTTATGAGCAAAATTTTTTTTTAAATTCCAATTTTAGGGTTAAAAAAATTATAAAACCTCTTAAATACCTATCTTCGAATGTAATTATTTTGACAAGTTGAATACTACTCTGATAAAGATCTCTGTACAAGATCATTAAAGGATCCTTTAAAGGTTCGGTGCAATTTCTTTTAGAAATCTTTTACAAAAAACTTAAAATACAATAATATATTGATGAAAAGTAAATCAAAGTCAATGATTCAAATTTGACTTTACACACAGTTGAATTGAGAGTAAAAATAAAATGTTTAGAATTTTATTTAGAACTTTTAAACGCGAGTAAAATTTTTCGAGTTATTTAAGAAAAGTTGGAATCAAAAACTGTATTTTAAGCTTTGAGTTAACTATACCTGAAAAATCTTGTACGAATTCATATTTGCGTTCTTGTTATTTTAATACTCTTGTAAGTATTAACTACTATATACGATTTAATTTTGTCGGTAACATATTATTATTAAAGTTAGTAAAAGTTAGTTACTACACTTAGTTGCATGAAGAAAAATAAGTTTTCCATATATAGAAGACAAATTTTTATCTATGTCAGATAATAATTAAATTTCAGAGCAAAAAATTAGCTGTGAAATGTAATTATTAATTTATTAACTAACAATAATTGATATCCAAATCATAGTAATTAAGTTAGTCAAGATGGCTAAAAAGTAGATAAAGTGGATAATATTTTTATCTGTTTATATAAACCTCAATGGGGTCATTCACAAACTACGTCACGCTTTTTCGGACTGATTTCGGACCCCCCCCCTTCGTCACACACAGCTTGACACCCCCCCCCCTATAAGTGTGACGAAGTTTGTGAACGACCCCAATATGGTATTCTTCTGAAGAATACCATAAGATTTAGAATTTTAAATAATTTAGAATAAAAATTTTAAATAATTTTATTTATCTCGAGAAAACGTACCTGCATTCCAATAATTGCATAGATGAAGAACAACATTGCAATCAGTAAACAAACGTATGGTAATGCCTGAAAAATAAAATAAAAAAGTATTGTGAAATATGATAAAATGAATAATTTATATTTGAGCAAATCAAATCATCTTGAAATTTTCAAATAGTTACGCATAATTTATTTCTTTATGAATAAGGAGAAAATATAATCAAAAAAAGTTAACAACTCTTATCTTCTGGAACTATTCCCAATAAGTGGGATATTCATTATCAGCAATTTGTAAATACTATTATTTTAGAAATTGACAAGGGTATGAAAACTAGGTAAACCAAATAAAATTCATGATTTGCAGTATATCCATATATTTACCTTAAAAGATTGAACGAAGGTCCACAACAAAATTCGTATTGTGTAGCCCTGCCTGAGTAGTTTTATAAGCCTCGCAGCACGAAATAACCTTAGGAATCCCACATTGATGAAATTCTCCTGCAGAGAACAGAGAAAATTGCACTTTAATTAAACAGAGTAAAAAATTGTTCCATTTTAATGATCTGGAACTTCGTGCGTGCAACGTATCTATTTTGCTTACAAGAAGAGCAGAATTACAAAATGTTCTAATTGTTGCTTTGAAACTGATCGTATGCACGAACGAAGCTATAAAGAATTCCTTTTGTTTTTAATCCAGTATAATACAACTATTTCTAAATGAAATGAAACATTCATTTCATCATCTGTATATGAGAACTTAAAAGCATGGTATCAAAAGAGAATTCAGGTGCATGCTTTTGAATCTAGTTCTTCAAATTTCTATTTCCGTTCTAAATAAAAAATGGTCAAATTAATTTTGTAATATTACAAGCATACCATAATTCTGAATTCTCTTTATAAACGTTTCATTTGCGGTAATTCTAGACTCAATCTATAGAGCAAACACAAGGTACTTTCAAAAATAACTTTGTAGTATAGATTAATAACTCAAACTTCACTTTAAAACAACGAAACATCTATTAAGTCTTACTCTTAGGGTTGTGTCAAGATTTACAGTAAAAATTATGCACAGCAACTTGTTCTATCTAAAATCTAAATTGTATTTAGCAGTATAGTAACTGATAATAACATTTAATGACTTAAGGATTATAATAGTAAAAGGTTAAAATTATGAAATCAGCTAAACATTAAAATGTCAAAGAACTACTATAAAATAGCTCAAACTTCATTCTGTTAATACTACTCTATTTGTAAAATACAAATCTTATGTAAATGTAGCTAATTCAGTATGTAGGTTGAAATTATCACTTGATTGGAAACTTACGCCTTTTGACCTAAATTTTAATTTTTCATTTGTTTTTGTCATATTTTTAAATATAGTCATAACACTGTTCGAGCTATACTAAGTTACTTAAAAATCAGTATAATCTAATTTTTTTCTTGACTATTTTAAAGAATTCTAGAAAACTTGTAATATTTCCAATATAAAGTAAAATTTTTAACTTAGTTTATAATTTTTTATGGAAAATTTAACCTTCAAGCCTAATGCGATGTAATATTTTCTAGAAAGAAAATTAAAAATAGTTTTATAAATATTTTAAATTCTACTTAATCGTTGCTGACTCTTTAAATACATGAATATTCAAGAGATGTTTTACAATTCAAAATAACTTTTTGTTTGGATATTTTGTGCATGCCCATGAATCAAAGAACCTAAGTATTCATTTGTTAATGTTTTAATGTTAATGTTTTTCACGAGATTCTCGTTTTCTTGATTATAATCATCTTCAAATAGGTCCTTTTTATAAACTTAATTCGTTAAATAAAATTTTGCACGTTGCCTCACTTATTTTTCTTAAAATATAAAGTCAACTTTTATATAATAAATTTTGTAATTTTGGTTCCTTACCAAAAAACAAAAATGCTTTTACAGTAAAGTCTTTAACGTCCTAGTGGTTTTAATAAATAACATAAATAATAATAACGTAAGTAATAAAAATGCTTTTATTACTGTTCGCCAAGTTCTTAAAATGTAAGCAAACTTTTACCTCGATACTTGTACTTGTTAAATTTTAGGGATTTTTTATAGTCACTGTGTTTTATAGTATTAATAGTATTATAGGTATTATAAGATGTATCCATTGTAAATTTTTAAGAAATTGTTTTACAATGACGAAATAATGAACAGAATTTTATACGTTTGTATATATGTGAAAGCTGTGTAATTGTTTAATGATGCGTCTTTATCATTAAAAGCCAAGCGTAATATAAATTATATAAAAACAAAAGTCGATTGATTTATATAGTTTATTATTAATTTTATTGAATTTGTAAAATCTCCTTATAGGGATTTTCTCTCGCTTTGTTCTTTTTATTTGAAAAAACTCAAAAATTTTAATGCTTATAAGTAACTGAAATTGTGAAAATAAAAAATTAGGGGAAAATGGCCATCATTGAACAGAGTTTTTTAAAGTCCTGGTATTAATTCAATTTTACCAATTTTGATCACATTCTCGAATCAATGTAAAACTAAAAATACTCCTTCAGGTAATATACAACGTTATAAGCCCAATTTATTATAATTAAATAATTATTTATCGTTTTTGGAAGCTGAAACACTCGTCTTATTTTAAAGGCCCTGTGTTTACATTGAACCACCTCTATTAAAACGCAAGAACTTTCTTCAAAATAGAATTTTTAATTTTTGTGCTGTATTTTTACATTTTGTAAATAAACTTGTTTTACACATAATCAGTAAAACAGATAACTTTTGGGCCAGGGATACCATTCTAGTGATAATTGAAAATACGTTGTGCATTCGTGTGTTTCAATGTAGCCTGGCTCACTGAGTAAACATGCCATTCACAATTACAATTCACAAAGATTGTTTATCATTTTATATAAGATTTAAAAATCTTTATTACATCGGAATATTGTAGTTGACACCAAAAGCGAATTAAATCACAAGTTAACTTATTTTTAAAACCTTCTGTTTCAATAAAAAAGTCATTATGTTTCCACCAGTTTTTTTCTTTAGTAAGTAAAAAACAGTTTTATCATTTTTTCTTTGTAAATATTTAACGACGTGTCGAAAACTTTCGGACATAATCCGTTTGGGTAAAACTATTTTATATAAGAAAATATTCCATTCAGTCGTTTATCAGAAAACTGAAGTGGTTCAATGAAGGCTACTCTCCCCAATATCTACTATTTTGTAAAAGCAGATTTTTCTATTGACAATTATTTTCAAACTCTACTCTTAAATGTTTAACATGTAAATTGAATTATAAAAATGAAAAATACATTCTGTTAATCTTTGTTCAAACATTTTAAGGTAAGAGAATGAAAATAATGCTTGAGAAAGCAATTGCCAGCGAAATTTTTATTTATAAAATGTTAACTTTACCTTACATTTTTTCGTATGCATATCGATATTTGTGCACTTCACATTGAAGAGTGCAGATAGTTTTGCCTAAAAAAAGATTATCATTTAATATTTTTCATAAATTAATATTTAACCTTCCTGAGTTAGTTCTTTACTATAGAAGTCCTTTATTAATAATTAAATTGCAGTTTCCTAATATCGCCATAATTGGCTCAAAAATTAATGTACGACGTTGGGAAGCTTGAACTATACTTTTAATGTCAACTTCTGGTGTATAATTTTAAATCCTTTTTCGAGTCTAGTTTATTTTTTACTCCAAGCCAATTAAAATGGCAATGATTTCAATTTAGTGGTTCAGTTCTTATTGCTTCGCCAGTAACTTCCACTGATTTCTGTATTTCCGAACGGAATTCTCACAAATGTCGCACGAATGAATGTTTCAAAACTCTTTGATTAAAGTTTATCCTCATACTTTGTGTGACGTGTGATACCGAGCATCTTAAAGGACTCATCCTCTATTTGATGGCTGCCGTTTTGTTCAAATACAGTAATCGGCTATGCCATTAAATAAGCGACACTTAATGGAGCTTCAACTCTTTTAGGATGGACAATATCACCCAACAAATAAACTCAAATAGCATTTAGTAAATGTTATTAGTCAGTCATTGCATGTTAGTTTCTCCAGGGTTACCTGATTTTTACTCTCTATTATATTTACATTATTCTGGTATACAAATCAAAATATAGAAAATTCTCTTAGATAAAGACGCATTATTGTGACTGCAGAGTAGAACTTTTATTGTTTGTGTTGAGTTACTGTTGAAAACTGTGCAATATAAATACAGAATGCGAAAACTGACATACACATATCAATATTTTTAATAGTTATATTATTTTCTTTCTTTATTCTGAATAACAGTCGATCATTCCAACAAACCCGTCAAAGCAGAAAGAAGTAGAGTTTTTCACGGAACTTTTCTAATTTTTCTTCGCTACTACAAATTCTGCATAATTTATAGTTGGGGACAATAGCTTTTATTTCGAAAAACATCAAATCTCTGAAAATTATTTTCTAAGCTAGTTATGAACATCCATAAAAAATTTTTAATTTGAAGAGACCAAATAATTTTTGATATATTTAATTATTTTTTATATATAGCGGGTTAGGTACCATTTCAAGAATTCGTTATAAACGGTACAATTTAAGAATATTGTTGTAAAACATACCATTTCGAAGAAGTTTTCTTTTTCCAAGATTATCAATACTGATGCTAGAAATAAAATAAGATGTAACGATAGGCTATAATATAGCAAATAGCATACATTGTACAGCACAGCCAACGTAGTCGCGCACAGCGTGAAGGCAAAGAGAGAGTAGCGACTGCGCACGAAACTTGCGCCGCCTGCCTTCGTCCCCACTACTCGCTCTCTTCGTGCCGCTAAAGAGCGAACCTTTTAAACGTCGCTGCGCGATCGCGATTCCGGGGAGTCTCGTTTGAGCCTTCTTCGAATATACATGTGTTATAACTGTAATTAACTAATATTTAAGTGCTTTTAACTAATTTTGTGTTTGTTCAGTGTATTTGCATGTAGTTTTTTAACACCACTAAATTGGTTTTATTAATCAATAATAAATAATAAGTGATCTAATCTGTGGATTAAATTATTAATAGAGTTTTATCCAAGCTGTTCCGATTTTCCACGCGAAGAATTCAAAATTATCAAACTCAAATCACGATCAACGAATTATTTCCAAACAAAAAGGAGAAACTGGAAGCTTCAAAGTAAAAGGAGGATCCTCAGCAACAAGTGTCATTTTTTAAAAATTATTTGCTTTTCCTGTAATCAACAATACCACACCAGGATAATGCAGCGCATCACTACTGACTACAGCTGATAATCACTGAACCACTAGAAACAACTGTGACAAATCTACATACCGGAATAACCTATCTACAACTACCATACATTTCACCCTACCATATAACATTATTTGTACTGGCTATTTGTTAAACAAGAGGCCATTAAAACAAGAAGAAGAAGAAGATCGCGATTCCAACTCCTCAGTTCGTGGCCTGACATGCTTCGAGGAGCTTCTCGGGAAGGGAGGCTACGAAATTTCACTCACGGTGCTACTTGGTGAATGCTCTCGATGAGAAAGGTTTCGTACCCCTGGTTGTAGGTACTGTACTGCACTTGGTGAACGCTTTCGATGCTCGTCTGATCTGGGTAATCTCCCTGTAGGTGCTACTATGGTAAGCGACCGATATGGATATTTCCTAACATTCTAGCTCTGCACCCCAGGTATATGAAGGTGCTTCTCTTACACCTGAGCCCAAGCTATGAAGATGAATTCTTATCTCAGGGTGCTACATGGGTAAGAAATCGCCGTTCAGTTTTCTTATTTTACAATTTTTTTCAACGGGCAAGAATATCGGCAGTGTTCCTATATTTGAGTATTGGTTCTGTCTTATAGAAGTCAAATTCAGTTCCTCAGAGTGCATGTCTCAGGGTACGGTCCCATGTTGAGCAGAAAACACAATACAAAGCAGAATTTCGTGAAAGTGGAAAGGATAGTGATATCTGACTATCTCTCTTGCACTCACGAAATTCTGCTTTGCATTCTGTTTTCTGCTCAGCATGGGACTGCACCCTTAGTCGCATCAGTCACGATAGATCATGGGATGAATTCTAGACTAGTTCCGTATAATAAGATACCGACAATTTAATAGATTCAGGCGGAAATAAATAAAAACATAAACTGCATAGAATTGCAATAGATCGGAGCCAACAAACAACGGATCATCCAATACTAATTGCTTGCGTTCATTACAAAGGTTATGCATTTTTAAAAAGAGGATTCTTATGAATCTTATAATGTATTTACTCAAACTATCTAATGATTTAAAACAATTATTGTTAATAATTCGGAATTATTTAGGGCATTACTTTTAAATATAGATCTTCATAAAAATGGTATGTTTTACAATAAATATTTGAACTTTCTTGTAAATGAAAATGTACTTGATCTTGTACCGGGATTTTCAACTGGATGTGACTTGGTTGTGGTCAAAAACCCTGTTTAGTTACTTCCCTTATAAATTGTTTATTTCTAAACTGATTAATTTGAAACTTGAGGAATAACTTCCTTAATTGTAAAGCGAAACATTCTTGTAAAAAGATTTAACAGTCTTAATGTTCGCAGCATACTGAAAAACCGTTGGTATTTAGGATAATAAATGTTTTCTCACAGCATCAGGATATTAATGATATCTGTGGAACGTTTTAAGGACATTTTTTATCATCCGACGGTTAGGATATCCCAGGGATGATCATGGATGTTCCTGGCTTGAGTGTGGAATGTTTATTGATGCTGTGAGAGTTAAGGTAGTATCATTTGGCAGCGGTTTCTTATAAATTAATGTCAGAAATCATATACTGACACATATATATATTGTGTATGTTTATTAATTACATTTTTAAGAACATAACAATACTAAGTAAGGAAGTAATTCGACTATACTATTGTCTGATACTAATATACACACTAATAACATTAAAACAGCATACATAAAATTACTCGTAACAGTATTTTTTATATTTTTTCTACCCTCATAAATTTGTGCTACTTTTTCTAAGTACAGTTCATTAGCGAATTACAATAAGTCACAGTTTTTCGCGATATCAATTTACTTACCCGATCAAGGTTTTCATTATCTGAGAGACGCGCTAAGCGTTCCTAATTAAAAAAGAGATTTTTCAATAATCGGTTCTCATATTTTGTGATTCACTTTGGCTTAAAAGGTATTCTTAAAATTAAAACAAATAATTGATAAATAAGTATAATTAAATTTAAAAAAAACTTGAGTTGACATAAGTATCCATGTAGTTTTAAAATCGTTTAATTTTGCATACCCAAATTGGTTATACTGTAGTTCTACTTTGCATTATTAATTTATTACGAAACCTTTCAAGTTATTTTTATCCTCTTATTAGGATCAAATTCTGAATGTATATATAATTTGAAATATTAGAAAATAATCTGAAGTTTGATATTTGCTCTATTTAATATTATAACAAAATAATGGTGTTGTTGAAAATTTAATATGTTTCGGAATAAAAACCCTTTTTCAAGTGCGAATTGTTTTCATATGACACGTAATCTCGTACCAAGCATAATCATTAAACTGTTGCAGCATGCTTACTGCAAAGTTTTTCCAAGTAGCAAAATGTTAGTTTATTGTGAATCCCTGGTTTGACTGTTAGAATAATTAAAAGAGAAATTTCATTTTAAAAAATTTAATACAACTTAAAACAAGTGTATGGAAAAGAAATATGTAGTAAATGGATGGTTGCATTACCAATAATAATTATATATATATATTCCTAGTATAATTACGGTTTATTCTGCCATTCGTTGACAATACCTGCTCTATATTTTTTGTGATAAAGAAGAAATTGAATAGGAACATAGATACTAAAATAGATAGAGTAAGAGAAGGGTTGAATAATAAAATATACGAAAGATAAAGAACTTGTGTAGTATATAAGGTTTAAATTAAAAGTTGTTAATTTATTATTGAATTTAAACTCGTGTATATTTTGAAATATTTTTAAGGAAGAATGCTCTACTGTGTATAAAAGACTTTTCATGTTTCATTACAGGTATAAAAGTACTGTAACACAAAAGTTTTTAAAAAGTTCTAATTCTGTATAAATTCTACACAAGAAATTGTGCTATTTGAGAAATTTCATACTCATTTACAATTATTATCTACTATAGGAACATGTCAAATTGTCAACTGTAAAGCAGTCTCCCTTATTTTAATTTATTATGTTTTTTCCAATGTCTTCAATTTTTTAATTTGTATAGAGTATTGTAAGATAAATATTCCTTTATACAGTGTGGTGAAAGTAAATTTAGAAAGATTATTGCTAAATACATTCGATGTTGAAATGTACGTTGTACGTTCAAAATTACCTTTTTTCGCAAAGCGTTGAAGAAAATGTTTAATGTGACGCGTCAAAAAAAAATTCGTTAGTGCTTGCTCCACTCAGTTTGCAATTTTTATTAGAATTTAGAATAAATCACTTACTTTCACCACTAATTGCACAAAGAACTATGCTATGTATTGTAGCACAGTTAATGAATAAATTAACTTAAAAATAAAATGATTGAAATATTTGTTAGAAGAATAATTCAATTTTACATACCCCAAATTCAATTACTAAAGCGTCCACGATGCTACCGATGACTGTGATGAAATCAAATGTGTTCCAAGGATCCTTGAAAAAATTCTATCGGAAATAAAAAAAAGTATTGTTAAACATTATATACATAAACATATTTTTGAAATCTGCCCTCAATGCTTTTTACAAATAGTTTAAAAAGTCTGTTCTTTTCTTTGTTAATCTGAATCAGCAAAAAAGAAGAAAGCAATCAGAAACAATTGATATTAAGTTTAAAATCTGAGTGTTTTTTCAGCTTTTTTAAGCCTGATCTATTTTTCGTTTCGCTTCCTCATACTTTGTATTCCTTCAATTAAAATTTTTTTAAATGCTCTAAACAAGAACATAAATATCTTAAAATGTATAGAAGGAATTATATGCAACCACAGCATCCTTATATTTTACATATTCTACGGATGTGTCCGAAGAAAATAAGCGTTTAAGATTTAAATAAGTTTTGAATTGAAAACAGTCTTTTAGCGTTAGCAATATTTTTATTAATGATTTCAACTCCCCGTGTAGAAATTGGCCTAACAAAGCCCTGGCCCCGCATGAAACAGGGAACCCGACCGGGCCCCGGCCTGAGAGCTCGGCAAATCGGGCTTTTCACCATGGCCCCGGCCAGTTTTATTGTTTTACCCGTTGTAGACCCAGCCAGGGCCCTGTCAGAATTTCTACACGGGTGTTTTAACCAACACCAAAATTAAAAATAGTTTTACTGTTGCGACTTTGAGGGCAGATGAGTTTAAATTTATTTATGCAGGAGTAGAAATAGGACTAGGTGGTGTTTTCTCAATACGATACTTTTATATCAGCACATTTAGTAGTAAATATTGCTCCAGCATATAAATATTTAAACATTATTGTTTTAAAACATAGATGTAGTTAACTTGTACTGAAATATTTAAATCACAAAATATGTAAGTTTGTTTAAATATTCATGTTTAACAAAATTATATGTAAATAATGTGTCGAAAGTATGCTTGTATCATGGTGAATGTAAATAGTAAATGTGGATAATGTAAACTAACTAAAAATAGCAGATAGTTTTTAAAATATATCTACACATAAGTACATGCTGGTTTTCGCAAGCGGATAGAATAAAATTTTTTAATTAGGTATAATTCGAAGTTTGAATAATCACGGTGGAAGTAAAAATTGAGCCCCTGGATTCTATAACTGCCGCTGCGCGCGGTTTGGGAAGAATAGTACCAGTCAGGTATAGGAGTGAGCGCCTCTGGGCTATTCACTGCTACCTGACTGGTATTATCCTTTCCAGACCGCGCGCAGCGGCTGTTATAGAATCCAGGGGCTCAATTATTCAAAACACGAATTTTTTTAAAAGCTGTCTTAATTGTTTTAAAATATTTAAATCGAATCCCTAATGAGAGAATTTTATTAAATTAATGATCAAGTTAATATCCATAACGTTGATTAAAACGAAAAAATTTGTTTATGTATTCGAATATTAATTTTTTGAAATATACTGGTTACTGGTTTACGATTTTGCAGACAAATAATAATTGTCAATTACATTTAAGGTGTTATTTCAATCAAAATTTTAAACAATTTGTCTCAGCTGTGTCCTTTAAAAATTGTTAATTCATCTATGGAGTGATTGTCTTATTCATATGTAATTATCAACTCCACTTAAGTAAAAAATATAATTAATTTGTTACAAATGTATTTGATTGAGTTTGAGGTTATTATTAGTTGACGTCAAAACACAAGCTTTGTAATTAAAGTTGATATGTGGTTGCTATTCTATCGAGTGACGAAAATCTCGTAACCAATCAGAGCACCTCTTTTACTTGAGAAGGTCACAAAAGTCGCTATTCTCGGAAGATAAATCAGGAGGTTTCTGCGATTGTACGCAGACTAAAATAATGGCAATCAACTACTTTTTTCCGGTCACGTGCAACAGTAGAGTTATTTTTTAAACAATTTTCAATTACTATACTATGAGTCGCACAACACTTTGTTTACGTCTTAGTTCTGGGAGATTTGTGAATGAAATATCTAACTTTTATAGTACCTAAGTCTTATGTGAATAAGAATGTTTCGCCTCCGGATTCAGTGCTCTGAAGTTAGCCTCAAATGCTTATAGTATATTTAACATAACTTCAGGTCATAGAAGTACTTAACAAAATTTACTAAATATTTTTTTAGTTTAGGTGAAAGGCTAAATTGGTTTTTCAACAAATTTAAATATAAAATTTGAATTTGCCTCCTCATGGTGCATCGTAGAAATAAATTCCTTAAAATTATATAAAATCACGTATAAATGACCTTTTATGGAATTCTATTGGGAGTTAAACTTTTACTATCTTTTTACTGTTTGGTAAGTTTGCAGTAAACTTTCTGCAAACTGTTACTCACATAGCACAATATTGTGTCAATATTGCATGAAAATATTAACAATATTACAGGGAAAAATGTATGCAATATTGAGGCAACATTGCTTGGCAATGTTATAATATTTATTATTTTATTTTATAATTACAATATAATTACGCTATCGGATTAACGAAGGGAACATTACCCATTTAAATTAGATTGATTATGTGCCTTTCTTTGATCCAGTAGCACAATTATAATATTTATTAAATAATGATTTACATATATCAATCAACCATATATAATAAGCCATTAGTCTCCAATAAAGATTTTTTGGGAACAAAATGAATGAATCAATTATTACTAAAATTATTACAGAAAATAATAAAAATAACAAGAATATAATGACATTAACATTAGTTTAACCCATTAACGCCCAAAACAAGAAAATTCTTCGAGCAATTTAATGAGTTAAATATAGCTGAATATTGCAATGTATAATAAACATTCTGCTACACGTGTATGTTAAGTGAATTAATGATTAAAGGCCTTTTTGTACCTTGCATCCAAAGGCGACGAGTTTAAGAATGCACTCTATGAGGAAAAGTAAGGTGACGATCAAGTTCACTATGGTCAAGCTGTCCAAAAGAACAGGAGGCGCCTCGTGATACTATAAAATATACCCAACACAAAGGAGTAACATACGAACGAAAAATTTCATATAATATCTAACACTTTTTGAAAATTATTTTTCTGCTTAAATTAGAAATTTTAAAAGATTCATTTAAATATATCGCTTATTGATTGCTTGAAAGTGGAAAAAGGTTTAAGGGCATTTTATTATAATTCACTTTGTAAATTTTTCAAAAACTTAAATTTAAATAAGACTTCTTAGAATTACTGGATTCTTTAACAAGATACGCACAATGTTAAGTAAATGGCGCGTATCCCCTTGTAGAATCCATCCCCTCAATTACTTTTAGAAGTAGAAAAACATTTTTAAAATTTAATACTTGTCAGAGAAAATATTAACAATCCACATTCTAAAATGTTCGACTACACTTTACTCTGTTTTACAAAAACACAAGTTAAAATTATTAAATTCTTTATTATTATTTATTTTAATTACGAATTAATTTTAAACTCAATCAGCGAAAAATTCTAACATTAATTATTTATTTTATAAAATGTACTTTTATATATTAAAAGTTTTATTTACTTTTAAGGTTTGGAAATATCTATAAAGTGGGATTTGGTAAACCGATTCGACGAATATTTACATACGTAACTGTAAATTATATTATTAATAAAATGAAATTATAAATAAACCTTGATAGTATCTCTTGGTCATTATTATTGTTAAGAAAAAAATAAACAATGTAGTTTTTAAACTAAATGTTTGATTATTAAAATTATGATTTGCAAAAAGCTCAAATAATACCGGAGCAGATTTGAAGTAGTAATTACATTAAAAATTCCAAATAGGGTAAACGTACCAATTGTCGAGGATGGTTCCTGTTGTCGAGTAAACAAACTTTGAATTTTATTTAAACAGTGTAGCACATTGTAAATGAAAAAAAGTAATAAATTTTAATTTTTTTATGCGTTATAAATGTGAAAAAAATATATTAATATTATATAAACAAACAAATGAGACATTTTAGACAATATTTTTTGGTTATTACCATGGTAACATCGACAAATGGAACACCCTCGGCAATTGGTACACTTACCCTAGCACAATATACGAATCAAAGTAATAAGTCAATATTATTAGGCAATATTAAGTTAACTTTATATGGTTCTATTTCATGTTATTTGGATAACGTAACTTTGTTCTGCAGATTTTACAATTATATAAATGATTTATGATAAATACTGTAAAAAATTGATAAAACTCTAAATGTGTGATAATTTTTAAGATTTTTGTAACAGTTATAACCCAAATACCACCGCAAAGCTGTAGCAGATTAAGCATGGATTTAAAAACTTATTTATATCAAGTAGCAAATTAAAATTCACGATCGAAATAGTTTCCAACTTTTCGACGAACAAAAACATGCTCGGACGTTTATAATGATATCCCGTGAACCGAATAAGATTTTTCAATTCTTTTGCTCTTAAATTAAAGATCACACTTAAATGAAGACACCTATATAAGTTTCAAATTTTTTCTGTTATTTTTAAAAAATATTCTAGAGTTTAAAAAATTGCAAAGAAAATTTTATTTAAAAAATTTTTTTGTCTTTGTCGACTGCTAAATCTTTATATAAAATATTAAAATTTTCAGTTATATATCATTAATCGTATAATTTTATATACTTTCGAATGGTATATTTGTTAATTTTCTGATATTTGTATTCATAAAAAAATCGTGATTTAAAGATTGGTATCTTTTTGGGCCGTAGCGATAATTTTCGAAGGTAGTGTATACAAAAAATTAATGCGGGGAAAAATGTTCTTTCAACTTATAGTTATAATAAGATTTAATTATCTACATCTTTTGGTAAATGTACACACTAAAAAAAAAGTTTTACTTTCAGCCTCTTTTTGAAGCTGAATTTATGATGTAAACGGAGTCAGCCCCGTTAAACAAGGACAGAGTTATGTGAAATACATGGGCTGAATTTAAGGTGTAAACGGAGTCAGACTTTTTTTTTCCTGTGTAATAACGTAATTTTTTTTCATTCAAGGACAGATTGTTAATAGTAGACCAACAATAAATTCCCTCTTCTGGGAATACTTGTATACCCAAGTTAGGTAAGGTTGTTTAGTGGCAAGCTTTATTACTTTCATTAGATGAAGAAAGAGCTTTTTACCTAGGTCTATCGTTGATAAAATTTGGGTTACAGAATTTTAATTTTTACTAATTATTTGAGATTGTAACAATTTTGGTAGATTCCGAATTACGAAGTAATAGTCAGACGCTGAATTTTTTTAAACTTTTCGTACATGCAATTCATAGGACAATATTTTATATCTGATTTTTTATATTGGCCTAAAATTGGTTTTCGGGGTAAAAATCCCCCTTAAAAATTTTTGGGGTAAGTTTGATTATTTACACATTTAAATTTATACATATATCATTGTAATATTTCTCAGCTGTCGGTAAGTTAACTATTGTCATGACCCTTTTGAGAAAGAAAAATGTTTCTCTTTGCAAGGATACCACATCAAATATTTGTATCTCGGTATTTAATCGAAAATTAGCAACAACTCTTAAAACAAGGTATTTTTCAATGTCAATTGCGTGCATCACCTGATTAAACTGTTATTTTGTGTCCTGTGACGTGTAATACTCTTTATTTTCACGTTTAAAATATTTCACGAATTGGAACAATAAATTTTCTGAATTCAAAAATCAACCCAATTCGAAAATCTCGCTTTCTGAAATTCAAGAAACGACGTCCCAATTCGAAAAACCCAACCACCCAATTCGACGATTGAATTAATTTAAATACATGAAAATGTAGTTTTTGTGCTTTAGCCGATGCATCTTAATTAAATTCTGGCAGCTGCGAAATTCGCTAGTAGATTCAATGATCCCAGAAAACTCCCAGTAAACATTTTTTGACAAATATGTTAATTTAAAAAGTTTTGGTGCATTTGCAAGTATGTATTTTAAAATATTTCTAGTACACGTGGAAGAAATTTTAAAGGTATTATTAATTTATATATGAATGATATTCACATTTATCAACATTATCACAAAAGCATTCTAGGGAGTTAATGAGAAGTAAATAAAAATAAATTGAAGAACTGTGAAGAAAGAGTGTAAGGTGAAAAATGCATAGCTCTTGTGCTTGCAAATGGTGAAAAATTAGATATAAAAGTTTTCTACTGTCTGTTCCTTCTTTACAAAAGTACGTAGAAATCTTAGTAAATATGAAATTTTGTTATGAGATTGTTAGATTTAGTAATCTTTAGTAACATTTTGTCCGATATTTTCAGGATCTAATTGTTGGGAAAACTCAATCGTTAAAATAGAGTATTTCATATAGTCATGAAGTTGCATGTTTGATATAGAAACAGTTGCTTAAAACAGTAGATTCAGAGAATGTAACCCATATCAGCAGGCCGTAAACAGGAAATCTCACCATCAGTCCCAGGACTCATGCGCTCAAGTGCGCGCGGATTGTGCGGGTGCAAAATATCTTGCAGTGCCACGGGTGATCGTGGAAAGGTTAGATCCACAGAACATCGTTGAAGGATAATCAGAGAGATCAGGAAGAAGAAGCAGGAGTGCCTCAAGCCTATTAACCTTGAGAGGGCCGGGGTGGCCACCATTAATTTTCACTACTATTTTCATCGAATTGACTTTTTATTTAATTTTACTTCATAAAAAACTAGTAAAATTTTTAAAAATTTTCCGGCCCTCTAAAGGTTAAGTATGAGCAGCGGAACGAGTGCTGTAAGCCTGGTTCCCTCGGAGCTCGACAAGGAAGCAATTAACGAAGAATACGAAAAGTGCGTCAAGTTAAGAGCGAAAGAGTCAGAAATGATCAAATAGATCAAAGATCGACTGCGTGCTTGAAGTGCGGAGAAGCCAGTCATAAGTTCGCTGAATGCAAGAGGAGTGCAAGATGCTTCCTATCAAATAAATGTGGCGATAAGGTTGACTTAAGTAAGCAACCACATCGTTGGCAGTAGATCATGCGGAGTCTTCAGGTCAGCCCTAGAGGAGACCAAAAAGACTCGCTAGTACGATAAATAAATAGGCCAGAACATGAGCGGCACGGAAGGGTTGCGCAAGCAAAAAAAGTAAAAAGTTTATTAGTAGTAAAAAGTAAGTAAGTTCCTTCCTTCCTTCCTTTACTTACTTAAGTAAGTAACTTTATAAACTTTTGCTTTTTAAAGCCAATAGGCAGTTCCATGGATTGAAAAGACGGGAGTGGTTTTTAGTGGGTTGAACAGAACAAGAGTGGTCATTCCCACATAACCTAGGATTCTTTATCCAGGTATCTGAATTCATATGGAGAAGCTTGTAGATCAAACTTGGAGACATAATTAATTATACTCTCCAGTGGCTCAATAAACCCTCTAGGAGAGTTAAATTAAACAAATCAAAGTGAAATCAAATTACCTAATCGACCCCTTTGATGTTTACAATAAAAAAGTAAAACATTGCAGACCTGTGTAATTGTTAATGATATTGCAAAGATATAGTAATATAATAATTAACTCTAATGTTTATCTAAAAGGTAATCAGCTGGGAATTCATGCAAGTAATAAGTAATTTTTGTAGATTAGTGTTCCTATTCGTGTATGAATTTTACATATTATTTGCAATGCAAGAAATAACAGATAAAAAAAGAAATAGATTACGTGACATTTTCTTTTAAAAACAATAGATAATACATCGCACTAAAACTTTTGCATTATAGCAAAAATACGAATTTACTAAGAATATGTTACGTAACCTTTAAGGTTTGTTATTCAGTGGTCACGTGCCCCATATACTTTACTATGGAAAAACATGACACTGAGTAACATGACCTTAAGCAATAATAATTCTTTTGGATTTAAAGGCATGATGCAAAAAATTGTACATTGTTGTTTATATTGTTCTTACCCTGACACCAAAAGCGGCAATCTTCAAAATACATTCGATGGTGAACATCCCCGTGAAACACATGTTCATGTACTTCAATGTATTCTTGTACAGGTCACTCTGCCGGTGGTACTGTAATATATACACTGACAGACACTCGGCAGACAGAAAAATGTACGTACATACAGGACTATCATTAGTGATAATCAAAAATTTAATATATTCAATGGTCAAAAAACAGAAGTAGAAATTTTAATTAATTTTTTTTGTCTATTATATTGATAACGTTTATAAAATTAAGTACTTGAGAGATATTGTAAACTTTATTATACAATTATTCTTTTCAGACTTAATAAAATAATGTTCTTGATATACCTAATGCCGATATGTTTTGTTTTTTATGAGAGGATTTGTCTTATAAGATATAATTTTAACAATACAATAACTGTGACGCTAGTGAGTTAAATGGTTTACCGCGTTTCGCTAGTATTCGTTTCATACCGTTTCTCCGAAATCTAAATCATCGAGTTGTTAAGTTACGTTACCGTGGACGAGATGAGCGTTACTTGATTTAATTATTCCCTAATCTAGTCATGAATTTACTTTCCGATTATCATTATTAGATTACAAGGTCCGTCTCGGTGTGGAGTCAGGGCGCTACCTAGACGAAGAAACAACTCCACAGAATCGCTTCAGGTGAAAGAGTAGCTCCTCAATTCACTTGGGGTGGTGAGCAGAAAAGAGAGCGAATGATATTGACCACGATCATCAGGTGGTCAACTTATCGATAAAACAGATACTTGATTCCTGAAGGAGAACAGGATTCTAAATAAGAATTGGTGATTTTGACAAATGGTTGACCCTGGAATTCAAACAGTGGCTGACAGAAGAGCAGCAAAAGTAATGTCAGGCGCATAGGAGCTGTAGGCAAGATAAAACATTCATAGGAACCAATATAAATCCCAGAAGAAAAGCGGAATTTCGCAAACATAGTAGGAAAGGTACATTTAACATTTTTATACGTTGATTTATATTTTAGACGAATGCCATATTTTCTTGGATCAAGAACATACTCAATTAATAATGTTATCAAACTAAATGTTTTACAATATCTCTCGCTGTAAGAAAAGAAGTTAATTTCGTTTAATTTTTATAAATAATTAAATATTAATGGTAATTGGTTCGTAAATTGAATTATGGCATCAAATTATTATATTTTGACTGTCAATCTTTTAAGATTAATTTGCTGAAATCATTGTACACTGTTAGCGTTTTTTACAGTCATTGAACTGTTTTTTGAAGTGTTAATATAAATATTGTTTGTGTTATGAGGCTTTTTGTACATTGTGATTTTTCGACAATTATGTAAGAAGCAACTAAACATCACAAAAAACAACAATGAAACTATAAAATTATATGTATGTGACGCTTCACCATGAAAGGGACCCTATGGCGACATATTAATATGTAATGTTATTATCACCATAAGACACTTTCACCATGAAGTATCACATATGTAATTAATACATTACTGTGGTTAGGCTTATATTTGCTTAGAATATTAAAAACAACGTGCAATATATTTTACAAGTGCATAGAAGAAATCTGGGTTCAGTTTTAGTGTCTATTCAATCTATCGAAATATAATGTGTTACTACTTATTCTTTACGTTTTAAAGTGATAATAGACACTACTTAAATTGAGTCCAGTTTTTGTCTATGTGCGAAACACTGTGTTACATTACGGTTGTACATGTGTCGTGAAAAAAGTTTGTTTTAAAATTGTAAAATAAGAGCTTATCATTTGGACTTACTGTTTTAAAGTTTCAATAAATAATATAGATTCAAGTTTTAATTTTTTAATTAATTTATTATATAATAATTATAAAATTAATACTAGGACGTCCGTAGAATATCCTTGAATATCCGTTGCTGTTAGAGTATTTTCAAGTGATGTATTAATTTTTTAATTGGTAATCTGATAATATGAAATATTCTACCTTCAATCTTAAATGTTAACAAATATTCGCAGATTTAAAATTTTTTTTCTGTCTAAAATTTTTTTTTTAATTTTTGAAAGGATTATTTTTTTCTTGAACATACCTCATTAACTTTTTTAAAGTCAATTAACTTTTTTTATTAACTGCATGATGTTTGCATGTTTGCATGTCTTTGTAAATTTTGTTCCAACGCAAAACTTGTGAGATCAATGAAAGGAACGTCTAATTTTATTGAACTCTTAAAACCTGGACTACTTATTTGAATTTAAAGTGTAATGTTTTAAAATGTTTATCATCAGGTCAATTAGTGTTCAAGACTAAAGTGAAAAATCATCTTTTGAATTAAAAAATGCAAGCGTCAAACAATATGTAAAGTAAAATACAGAGTAGCACTACAGTTTAAAATAATTGGAGTACATTTCACCTCATGCAAAATTGTATTAATATAAAGGAATTTTTTTAAATTTTAAGAATTTAATTCAGAGGAATTGGGAACGGAAAAATTTGTATTTATGGCCCCATGAACTCCCAATACGAAATATATATTAGATATTTATACCGAAATAAATGAAAAGCTGTTAGTAAAAATTGATTATAAGATATTATGCGAGCAAAAGGAAGTTCAAAAAAATTAAAATCATTAAGAGCGAAAACGAGTTATTACATTTTGTTGTATAATATCTACCAAAACAAATTTTACCAGCTCTTTCTTTTTTTCATTTAATAAAATCTAAAAAAAAGATTTAATAAAGCAGAAACGATCAAAAAATTTTTTACGCAATATTAAAAAAAAACAAAGTTTGATACACAAAATATTTTTGTATATTTTTGCTATTTTGTGCTCGACTTTTAATGACTGTAATTCAGACAAAAAATTTGTTTTTATTGCCCAAAATCATAGGACACCTTCGAATGGATATCCCAACATCATTTTCGTTTTCTTTTAATTATGAATTTTAATAAATCATTGAGTCAAAAAATATCTATTTGGTGCACAAAATAGCCCCATCGAAAACAATCCCAAAATTTTATAAGCCTGACTATTAACTACATCAGAAGTAATTTAACAGAAACAAAAAGAAGATTATAGTAAAAAACAACTTTACAGCTAAACTAGGTGAAGGTGTGGGAAATTTATTGCATCGAGAGCATTAATTCAACTCTAAAAAGTTTCTTCCATTGCTAACTCATTTCTGGGATTAAAATATATTCATCTTGTTCTCTTATTTAAGCATCAGATAACAACCTTACCTACTGGCAAATAGTTTGCCGTACAATATTGCTTAAATCAATACATACTAATTATTATAAATGTTTAAAGTAAATTTTATTTTAGATAGAATATTTAATAAGTGAGTAATAATCGTGCAAGCTAAAAGTAAAACTTGAAAATAGATGAGAAGATTTTTAAAGGCAAATTAAATTGAAATACTGAATTTTAACTACAGCAACATTATACAAAAACCTTGATATTTAAAAATAAAGAGTAGAATTGGCACCCACATTTAACAGAAATAGAAATATTTTAATTTCTGCAAAATAATGATTGTACATTAGATAAAATTTTGTAATGATGTTGCTACATAATATAGATATATATTTAACTCGTTAACTATGGCTAGGAAAGGGAACTCATAAATTATTTAAACATTAAACAACTTCTGTACTTCCAACCGTAACTAAATTATTCATTTTTATGTAGACTAACATTAATAATTATTAGAATTAATTCCCAGAAGGATTATCAGCCCCTTTTTATGATTAGAAAATATTTTTTAACGTGAAAAATGTAGAAACTAAAATTGTGATATATGATTTATTTGAGCTTTTAGCAGGTATAATTTTTTCGCAAATTAACCCTCTGCTGATACTAATTTATCTTCACTTTATCGTCATAAAACGTAACTCCCATAGTACCCACCAGACGTTACATCTGATGATTATTGACGATAATGGTCGTCAGCAACAGCAGAGGGTTAACAAACTGATTTGCATAAAAGGATAACTTAATAGTCATTTAAAACAGCATAATTTATTCTGAATCGTATAAGACCCAAAAGATAATGACAAGAGAAATTATCAAAGCTTTTCAAACTTAATTTTAAAAAATATGCAGAAGCGATTTGTAGTTAGGCTTTATAATTTACACATGTATAACTCGTAAGGAAATTCACATAGTACGCTGTTGATGCACTCTTGATGCACCAACCTTAGTATCTCAAAGCATAATTAGTATCATAGTAACCATTTCTCTGTTGTACAAAATTATAACTTTTATAATAAATTGTAAATCTCTTTTTCGGTAATCGGATGTAACCAATAAAATTATTTTAATTCATTATAGCAAATGGAATATAAGCTTTTTTATAATAAATTTAAATTAACAATTGTCAACAGTAATTTGATAATTAATTATAAAGTATTTTATAGTACTGTTTTTTTCAAAATTGAAAAACATTCCTAAGAAAATTTCTTTTATTTCGATTTTGCAAGAATTGTTGAAATTTTCACTTGTTTGCTGATAGTTAAAACACAGTTGACTATATAGGAAGATAGCTATCTACATTAAATGTTGTATACAACAGAAAAGCTCTAGATAGATTTTTTAGAAAATTTGTAAATACTATAGTATAATTGTAAATATAAATAACAAACTACTTAGATTCAAATTCTACAAAGTTTTCAAAACTAATTGATATTTCTACAAATTCTAGAAAATGCTATTAATATACGTATCTTATTTTTTCATTAATTATATTTCTAATTTTATAGGAAATATTTGCTAGGACCGAAATATTTTTAGAATTATATATATATTAAAGTAGAAATAGATTGTTGAAAAGTTTTATTAACTATTTTTAAACAGAAATTCTTCTATTGCAAATAAACTTGAAATTTAAAAGAAATTATGTTTATTACGTGTCTCAAAAGATATTATTGAAATCTGTTAAATAATTATTTGTGCCATATTATTTGATTTGTATAAAAGAATTTAACGAATTTGAAATTATTTAGTATACATCTGTATACTTTTTTTCCGTTTTTAGACATTAATATAAAAAATTTTATTATAATAAATGTATAATGCAATGCTTACCTTCATCATAAGTAATAATGTATTTAGTACAATCAAAATCATGATGAAGTACTCAAAAGGGGTAGACATTACTATCCTCCATATTTTATACTTCATACTGTTACGCTCTTTAGGCATGTACCTCTCCAGTGGACGGGCTTGTATTGTAAAATCTATGCAGGATTTCTGTAAAAAATCAGTGACATTAAATTTTTTTCTTGAGAATCAACTTTTAACCTACTATTGAACATTTTGCTGCCATGCTAGTAAAGTAATTTACTTTTTAAAAATAGTTCATTCTTAATTTTTTACTTTTAGCAAATTTTTTTTATTTTATGTTCGAAGGCACAATTATTTTATTTATTACGAATAAAAAAAATGTTTACCTGATTTTTATCAATTTCTCCATCCTGTAATTCTGCTTCACCCTGTTCCTGGAAAGTGATGATGATCAAGGCCACGAAGATGTTGACGAAGAAGAATGGAAATACAACAAAATATACAATGTAGAATATAGACATTTCTATTCGAAAATTTTGGATAGGACCTCGATCTTCGTACGTTGCAGCCATTGAATTTTGCAGGATTTGGGGCCAGCCCTCCCCTGTTTGTACAGCAAATAATGTCAACATCGCTGCCATAACATTATCGTAATGAAAACTTTGTGTAAGCCATTCTCGGTCTTTTGCTTCAGGAATCATTCGATCATCTTCGAATACAAAGAATTGACCCCTATAAAAACAAAGAATTTATTAACATTCTCAGAAAAAAAGGTAAAGAAAAATGTTTTCTTAATTCCATATAACAATCATTGATTCAACTAAAATGAATTTAGGTTGAGTCCAATTTGTTGCCCATATGTATAATCGAGAATATTGTACGAGAAACGCCTTTATCCAGATACAAATGATTCGTGCGAAAATCGTTGGCCAGTTCTAAACTATGAATAGCTACAAAACTATATAAGATTTTTGGGTTGGTAAAGAATACTAAATCGTTTACCATGTTCAAAGTCTAAGGGCGTTTCTCCTATAATATTTTTATAATACTTATAATTCGATGGCTCATTGTCAAAATCGACAACATTATTTGTCACAATAATTATGAATTCTTTCGGCCATTATCTAGGATCCGACATTTAATGTTTACTGATTGTGAAATAGTGAAAAATAGGATGAAGAGAGACACTGATGTGCGAGAGTTTTAATAATTTTAAAATTAATTATTATAATTATTCATAATTAGGATCCCATAAAGGATGTATAGCAGAATTCTTGACATTAATGATAGTATATAGTATTATGACTGCATGCCTGATGGCTATGATGAATGTAATGATTACAAAGCCCCACAAAAAAGTATCATGCACGGCAGAGCACAGTACCCTATCTCATGAATTTTGGTGCTCTGAACACGAACCCGATGTCAGATTTCCTCCATCAGGTCAGGATTTTTTCTATCTTCAAAAAACATGTCAGATTTTACCTTAAAATCTAAACTTATTAAATATTGCATCCACAGAACGACTTGAAATTAGGAGTACTCGCATTTGCCTGGACCACCCGTCTAATGGGTTTTCTAGCCAGTGATATACCATAAGTTTTTTTAGAATGTTATGAAACTTGATATCCACTAATTTTTAGAGTTGATGAATTCCAAAATGTTTGAAAAGTTTGTTGGTAAACAGTAATGCAGCAGGAACTGCAAAGTTTTAGTAGCCTGAATGCTGAAATTAAAATTTATCTATTGAGACATTAGGGTGTTAGGATGATGCCCTAGTGTATCCGACGAGGAATTGACATTATCCTCGTCAAAGTCGAAAAGCTCTCATACTTAAACTTAGGGAGGTATGAGAGTTATCGCACCTCTAGGACAGTGGACTCGCCTGTGACCGGACCAGAATCTCTAACATACGGGTTTTTCTCTAAATACCATGGCTTTCAAAAATCAAAACAATAATAAAAAAAACTTCAAACGCTTTAAAAGTTAATTTTAGAGTGAAGGGTCCAGATGATGGTCTAAAAGGTATCGAACCTGGGTCCTCTTGTTTATTTTATTCATAAATGACATAAGTATATTTTCAAATCTTGTAAATTCTTTCTCTTTGCAGATGATTTAAAGATTTATAAAACTATTAACTCAAATACAGATCACATTGATCTTCAATCTGACTTAGATTCTCTGCAAGATTGGTTTTCTCAAAATAAAATTTTTCTAAATATTAATAAATGTTCAGTAATTTCTTTCTCTAAAAAAATACTTGTTATAAACTACACTTATGTTGTTGGCAACATTGTATTAGGTACATCGATTAATACAGGTTCGAGATCTGGGGATAGGGTACTGTGGTCAGTCGCGCAGGATATTCATGCCTGAGTACATCGCATTGACATTTTTATGAATAATTTTTATGCGTTCTCATTGCTGCGTCTATGTTTAGAGTGAGCCAGTTTTGAACTGTTAATATACATACTTAAAAATAAAAAGTGTTTTAATTATACTTACTGACATTCCGCCTTTGTGTATTTACTTTCGTCTGTACAGTAAAAGAATTTTCCGTTAAATAGCTGCACTGCGATCACAGCAAAGATGAATTGAAATAATATGTACACTATGAGAATGTTAATGACATTTTTTAAACTATTTACCACACAATCGAACACAGCTTTAAGTTTCGGCACTCGTTTTATAGTTTTAAGAGGTCTTAGTACTCGAAGCACACGCAATGATTTTATAGTCGATAGATTTTGACCCGCTGAACTACCAGTCATGTCAAACGCGAAAGACACCGCCGCGCATATAACAACAATTGCATCCATGACGTTCCAAAACTCTCGTAGGTACGACCCTGGATGAAGAATTACTCCTAAATCGATAACCTTAAGGATCATCTCTATCGTGAAAACTCCAGTAAAAGCGTAATCAAAGTAATTGAGTATTGTATTCCTCTGAGAGTCGTCATCTACTGGATCTTCGGCAGCCAACGCCATACTCGAAAGCGTAATCACGACCATAATAAAGAAGTCAAAGTATCTCAGATTTACTACCCAATGTGCTCCTCTTCTTACGCTGAAACATAAATGAAAAATTTATTATTCTCTTGAACCGTTTCACATGTATATTGAAGTCAACCCTCCTAAGTTTTACTTTTCTTAGAATCCCCAGATTTTTATTGAAACATTGAATATTCTTGTTTAGAGACATCTAAACTTTCATTAAACACAACAGTTTTTAAAGAAACATGACATAAACATTTTTTTGTAACCCAATGTAATTATTAATTACATTACAAATGTAATTTTATAACATTTCATTTTAAAAAACAGAAAAATAAAGAATTATATTTGCAAGTTGTCAACAACCACATAGTCTTGTCGAACTTTGTTCTGTGTCAGTTTTACAGGCAGTACTATTTTTATATTTTTATTACATGAACATTAATAAAATTTAACAATAAATAATAAATTTACTTACGGGTTTGTAGGAGACAATATAAACATAGACGAATATGGCAGCATTGGTTTTGGTCCCGTATCATCGTCGTCATTTTGTTTTTTTTCTTCGGAAATTTGTTTACCAGTATTTCCACTTTTACTGTTAAGCAAACAAAAATAGAATGTTATGTTTTTAATCAGAAAACACACTTTACTGTACAGTTAATAAGGGTAATTCTCAAAAACAAAGTCAAATTGACTTTCCAGTTGGTACTAGAAGATATGACCCCCTTCTAACTAGGGTTGGATCATAACATTTTGCTAAAAAATTGAAATTCATGGGTATGTATACGAAAGGGCTTGTCCCGTTTATTACGAATAATTAAATGAATAAACTGTTTCAATTTTACCACAAAGTAGATAAAAAGTTAACACATATTTTATTCTTCTATAGAATCACCCTTGTTAAAAATATTTGAAAAACGTGACGATTATAATAAAACAAAACTTACAAGTTTTGCGACGGACTGGGTGGAGAGATTTCGACTTTTGGGTTAGTTCCGTCTCCTGGCATTTGTAGAGCCTCCATTTCCTTTTCAAGTTCTTGTTTCTGTTTCTCCTTGTCTTCTTCCTCTTGTTCTTCTTCAGCAGCAGTTAATTCTTGCGCGTTGGCTAAATTGTCAACAGCGATAGCCAAAAATACATTTAGCAGGGTATAGTTACCAAAAAGCACCAGAATGATAAAATAAAGAGAATATATCATTCCCTTTTTATGACCACCTTGAGATTGAATGCCTTGATACATAACTTCATTCCAGTCTTCACCAGTCAAAATCTGCCAAGTAAATAGAACGTTAATTTTATATATTAGATGAATTTATTTCAATTCTTTGAACCTACAATCTAATTTTACCAAACTGTCACAGATTCGTAATCCACAAACCCCAAAAACCCAGAAAGAATGCATTTTAATCGAATTCGATTCATTTTGAATTTTTCGTACACCGCATTAGACTTAGTAACAATTTTGGTAAATGTTGCTAGAGAATTTTGATTTTGAATACGTACTTGGAAGACAGTGAGTAGTGCAATGGGGAAAGTGTTGAAATTCGTAGGCGGCGTTCCACTATCGAAGTTGAATTGTCCACCAAAAAGCTGCATACCAAGAAGGGCGAATATGAGAATAAATAGGAAGAGCAGAAAGAGGAGAGACAAAATGCTGCGCATTGAATTGAGCAGTGAAATCACAAGGTTCCTAAGGCTGGCCCAGTACTTAGTTACTTTAAATATTCTTAGGAGTCGAAGGGCACGAAGGACGGAGAAACCGAACGAGCCAGATTTTACAGCAGACCATATCACCTCAAATATGGATCCCGAAATGACAACGCAGTCAAATCGGTTGAAGCTCGACTCGAAATAATTGCGTGGCCCGAGTGCGTACATTTTGACGAACATTTCAAACATGAAAAGGCCTAGGAATACAAACTCCGCAATATCTGAAACAATAAATGTAATGTAATTCCAAAGAGGGTTTAACATAGTATAAAGAAATTTGGATCCAAGACTTACATAGAAAATCAGTAAGCCATTCAGGCTGATCGTAATGTTCGACTGCTACACATGCTGTATTGAAAAAGACTAATACAATGACAAACCAGTAGAACCCCTGGGTTTTAACTGTATGTCTTATCCAAAACCTAAATCTTTTCTCAGCTCGCCAGAATTCCAAACAGGCACCTTTATTTTTCACTTTTGACTTCAGATAGGAAGTTCTCGTAAATCCTGTAATAAAATATATTGATATTATAAAATTGTTACAGTTTATGGAATGAATGTAATGATACAAACAGTATATCAGAGACTGCAACCTTCATTCAAAGTCAGACTACATTCCGATTTATTAAGTAACAATTTTTATCTATAATGATCTAGAGATATTTCTACTTGAATTTGAAATATTATCAGAATTTTGAACAATAACTTTATTTTAGACATAAAATTTGGAATAACATTTACTACATTTGAACAATTGAATAAAAAATATACTTTACCATCTTCTGGATCATCGTCACCATCTTCTTCTTCCGTATCTGTGCTTTTGCTCTTTCCAAGATTTTTAAGTTTTCTTCTTTTCGCAGCATTTCTTCTCCTGGCTAAAATAATAATAAATATATTAAAAACTTTGAAATTACAGATAAAAATTATATATATATATATATATAAAATACAGGGTCAGTCGTGAAATTCCAATTAGCAATAACATTATACAGCCGATTGCACAAAATTAGGATAAAATTACAATTTTTTGTTAAACGTTTGTTGCGTATGATACACTGACAACTTTAGTTTTAAATTTGAAGATAGTACCGTTCCAAAATATTTTTTATTTATTTATCATCGAAAATTTGTATGGTGTCATATTAATTTTTAAGACAAATTTCAGCGCTACAAACGATAATTAATTTCTGATTATCAGCTGCATGGTGCAATCTTTTTAATAAATAATAGGATTTTTTATAATACCTTCTATTATGTGCATTTTTTCCTCTTCTGTTGTTCTTTCTTCGGCGAGAATAACTTCCTCTATAAAACATTTCATAATTGCTTAGTCTTTAAATTATTTTACACATACACAACTTACACTAAAATTCATATTTATCTTTATTCATCTATATACAGCATCTCTCAAATAATCATTATTTTTACAATTTAAAAACAGTTAGAAAGAGAATTTTTTTAAATTTATTGCTTCTAATTTAATAACATTGTTTGAAAATTAAAATTGGATCCAAAATGTTTTAAAATTTTGAATTTTTTTCGCTTTTAAAAGAGATGCTATATTCTGTAGAAAAAAACAAGAGATCAAAATGCGAGGATAAAACAAAAATTTTTAACTTCAATGTAGGCTGAGTTTCAAAGAATTAGTATAATTTATAATCTAGTCAAATTATTTTGAGAGACACTTATTTGTTTTTTAGGATATCCTTTTTAGGATAGGAGCTATAATGAAAAAGGGAATAAGTAAAAGCATTATTTTCGAGCAGCTTCTCTAACCTGCTTTACAAATCCATTCAACATAGCCATTGAGTTCTCGTTCTAGTTGTTGTTGCCTTCGTAACTTCAAAAATGTTTGACGATTTTCCACTTTTTCTCTCTCCTTTGCAAACTCTCTACAAGCGACATTAAAATAGGGTCATAGCATGATTACCAGTAATTAGGAAATTATTGCTTAAGAGGTTCACAAAAATTACATATTTTATAAACTTCTACTATCATTTCTAGCTTTGAATTTTTAGCTTACTTCCTACTATCACATTTTCCGTGTGAATTTAAATTAAACCTTCTTTAAAAGTCACACAGACGTTGGTAGGACCTTATGAATAACCTTATGAATAATAAAATAAAAAATTTTAATTCAAAAACAATATTTCTTTAAACAAACTACAATACATAGATGATTCTTCGCGTAGCGTAAAATTTAATATTCATCGTGTTTTTTAAGAAATCAGTATGCAAATAAATTTCAGTAATTGTAATAACTTAACCGTCTTCTACGTGGAGAATCATCCATTTGACAATAGGCGATTATTATGAGGGCCTTAAAAAAGCATAAGTAATAGTTTGATTTACACATTACTACAACTCTTGTCAAATAGCGAACACTATACCGACTCAAAGCAAGACATTATTCGTACTAATTTGAAATTAGTTTGCTTGATAAACACTTTATTCCAAACTAATTTTAACAATAATATAGAGTTCGTTAATCCGACAGAAACATTTTTTTACAATTTAGTTAATATTTAGCATTATCAAAATCTACTAGATGGATTTATCAAGAAGATTTTTAACCTGCTTGAGTAATCCACTTTAAGTATGAACTGAATGCAGTCGTGAAGAGATGTTTTCTTTTCTGTTTGTGAAATTCAGCTCGCCTTTCAACGCGCGTTCTTTCATTAGAAAATTCCCTACCAAAATAAAAAGTTTCTAATCCATGTTTTCATATAATATTCTTTTAAAGACATAAGTTAGCTATCATTTTTGCAAAGAAGTATATTTTTATTTTAAACGAATTTGCAATTTTTTATGTATAAATACAATGAGGTTAAAGTTAGATCTTCAGGTAAGAATTTTGTCACTTTAATTACAGTTAGTCAATTTATTAATTAGTTTATTAATGACTAAAATTGGGGTCAGCAAAGTTCCATATCAGACTAATTTATTAATTCATAATATAATTCATAATCTGCAGCAAAATTTATTTTAGGAACCAAAAGATTCCATATCATCCATTACCATCGATAGAAGAATGATTTCTGGATGAGCAAAGAAAGCATTTGGTTGGATAACCTTATGAACTACAACCAGGACTTTTCTAGGTTACTTTATAAATTTTTTAATGTTAGAAATGATAGCAAAAATTGTAACAATATTTCTAATATTGTACATTTTATTTGCGGTCCTTTAATTTTAATTTAAAGAAAAAATCACCTTCTGGGTCATGTCAGTGCCCTTTATAGACCTGAATTAAACCCTATTGGGCTGTGCGTTTCATCTTCAACTTGCCCTGATTAAAGTTTATATATTTCAATCAGGAACTGATTGAACCCATGAAAAAATTTCCCACGGATTAACTTGTAGGGTATAAAAGGTGAAAAATTCTTCTTTTTAGAAATTAGACTAGTAAAAAAATTTTTTTTTTCCTTTTTCCTGTACCCTGGGATTCGTAGTGATGGTAAAATTCAATGTCAGAAAATAAGAGAGAAACTTACCCACTCAAAACACCAAGAACTAAATTCAGCATGAAGAAAGATCCAATGACGATCAAAGGAATAAAGTAAATCCAGTTGAAAGTGCTACCAAGAGCGTCATTTGTCTGTAAAATTGATTAGTTGGTGAAATTTAATTTATATTTTTTTACAAATAATGCACATCACACGTAGGCATGAACACCAGTTAAGCAAAAATTAGATGAAATTGTCCAACGACATTTAAAAAACACTTAAACAGAAAAAAGTTAATTTAATAGAAATTAACTTTCTTTATTATAAGAAAGTTTATATAGCTTAAAAGATGTTGTAAATTTTTTAGGCAAATAAGGATAAGGCAAGTTGTAATACAAATTATTTATTAGAAATTTGCATATAGAATAAATTTATGAAAGCTTTTATTTTAAGAAAAATAATTTGAATGCTTTAAATTTTAATTTGAAAGTTTATTGCTTGCATTTCTTACTCAAGCGTTTTAAGATTTTAGATTACGAAATTAAAAAATGAAAACTGTAAATAACGTGAAAATTCTTTGTTTTATAGGTACTTAATATTTAAAAAAAAAGAAACATTTTCTTGAATAAGAATGATTTACATATATACATAAAGAAACGCATATAACAACAATGGAAAACTTTAAATCCATTTAATATTTTAAATGCAAATTTTTGACATCTTTTTCTATCAAATAATATAAAGAAACAAAATTTGATTTTTTACCTAAAAAATGTACAAAATTCTTTATAAACTATTTGAATAATAGTGACACTTTATGTTAAAAGAGACTTTAACTGCGATAGGAGAATTTTTCAGGATGTATATCACAAGTTGAGTTCATAAGAAAGTTAAAAACTTAACTAAGTTCTCAACTAATCTAGAATCTACCTGGGATAGATTGATAGGTAATCCGGTTTTGTTTCCTAAAAGTTACTTGATAATTTTTTGAAAACCAGAAATTAATAGGTAAATGTAATATTTTAGTATTCAATTTTATTACTAATTAAAGTTTTATATTGTCTAATAAGTTTCAATTCTTTTTTAAAATTTTTTTCTTGATAAAGTCAACAAATTTCATGAAAAATGTATAAATAGGAATGTTTATTCGAAATTTAGTAGAATGTTATTAATTTTTGAAGAAATACCTTTGAACTCTTTTGGGTAATGAAGTGAAAAAACTAATGAATCAATTTTTTGCAGCTATAATCACTTTTAACGTAAAGCGTCAAATATAAAAATTAGAAATGAAAGTTTTTGGCAGTTGAATAATCAAAATCTTTTAATCCCTCCTTATATACATGAAAATTGAAATTTATGTGCTACTAATAGTGAGAATTTTATTTGCTGATTTTTGAGAATATTCGAGTAGAGTATAATTTTGTTAGGTAATTAGATAAGATTAGGCACTGTTCTTTATACATTATTTTTCAGAAACTATTGAAAAGATAAAGTAACTTAATTTGCTGTTTGCAATATTGACGAAAGTTAACTTTATACTTATTCAGTATTTTCTAATATTGTTAGACATTTTACGATTAGTAAGAGGAAGATTGAAGGATTTTGATTTAAAAAATGAAATGAAGACAATGATTCAACACTTATATAGCTGAAACTGACAGTGTTATACTGAGCAAGGTGAATATATACATCAGTGTTAGCATTTAATAATATCACAAATTTTAACTTTGTATTATTATTGGCTAATTTTTTAATCATGCTTGCACAACAAGTTAAGAATTAAATATAGGTAGTACTGGAATATAAATCAATATACATAAAGAGCACACAAAGTAAAAAAATACAATGAACAGTGTTAGAAAAAATATATCACAACAATTATAGGAATGGAATTATATTGACACTTTCAGAAGGAAATTATGATATTCCACAAAATTTATCCGGTTCCATTTTGAATGATTTCGCTTTTCTTCTGAGAATCTTAATTTTCTTTAATTTATGAAAACATCAAAGGAACACAAAATCTGACCACAATAGTACCTCTAAATATTGACACAATATTGATTATGTCCGGATTGCAAATTTTGCAAAACAATATTAAAGTAATACTGTTCCGAAATATTAAAGCAATATTAGGAAGTATTGCTTTATTTTTTATTAATTTATATCAGCCACGTGTTGCATAAATAATAAAGTTAAGACTATAAAAAAAATGTAATGTTTTATCACGCGACGCATTCCCTTAAAGTAATGAAAGATTATAAATTATAATACTAAAAAAAGACATGAATGAAGTTTCAAAAAATTGCCATGCAATTTTGTAACAATATTACCACGCAATATTACCTTAAAACGAACGTAATCAATGTGTAATATTATGGACAAATATGCTGTTTAGGAATACTTAAAAAATTTTAAGTATTAAGAATTATTTCAAATTTGTTTACTAATAACTTATAGTACCAATGACTGTAATTCAAGAAAAGTTACTGTAACGTAAGTAAAGTAAACTTGGTTTAGGGCAGAGTGGGGCAAAGACGTTTTTTAAAATATCAAACTGTCATTAATTTTAAAAAAATCGCCGTATTAGATGCGCCATTTTGAATTTTTAAAAACTAAGGACATATTTGTAATCAGCGACCCAGAAAACTCCCCAAGTAACAAGTTTCAATCAAATCCGATAAATTTCTGAAAAAAGTGTCCGCCATATTGGATCCGCCATTTTGAATTTTTAAAAACTAAGATCATATTTGTTATCAGCGACCGGACCCCGAAAACCCTCGAGCAACCATTTTTGAGCGATTTTAAAGAGTTTTAAAAATTATCCACCATTTTGGTTCCGCCATTTTTAATTTTTAAACTATAATCAAAATCTATAACTTTAAATTTGTATTAAGCGACCCCAGAAAAATTTAAAAAAGTGTCGTTCAATTTTTTCCCTTGAATTTTGCAATTTTTATTAACGATATTATTTGTCGGTTTGTGAATTTGTTGACTTTCCTCGCTTGTAATTACGCAGCTCAATTGAATTTTCAAAATCGCCCACCTTCTATTAAAAGTACACAAGAGTACGAATTTTAGAAGCAATTATAAATTAAAATTCTTGAAAATCAGTTATTAAAAGGCTAAAATACAATTAAACTGCAATTCAAAATTGTTTTTTAAAAATATTTTTTAACCTTAAAATTTTTAAGTTAGTTAATGACACATAAACAGTCAAATTGGAGGATAAGTGAAATAATTATTAAATTATGGAAATAAAATTTTAAAATTTGAATAAATGTTAAATAATTTTCCAATAAATTTAGAATGTACAATTGATGTTTTTCCAAGCATTCTTCCATAAAACTATACCTTGGAAGTAAAGAGATTAACACTGAGGAACATATATCTTGCATTACCCAGTATAATATGGCAGTCCAACCCTCCATAGTGATACACTGGAAGACGGTGAGCATAGCAAATCCAATGTTGTCAAAACTAGTAATGCCGTTGTTTGGTCCCTCCCAGCGGTCTGCACAAAGCGAAGTACTGAGGTTGCACACGTGAGCACCTAACGGCGCCAAACTGGGTTCGTCAGTATTGCACGGGTTCGGCAGGTCACCTTCTTTTACAATTTGTTCTGTAAAATAAAATTCAACAATTAATAGAATTCAAAAAGAGCATATTTAACCCTTGAAGAAGCAACTAATTTTTCTCATATCTTAAGTGTTAACTAGGGTACCCCAATACGACAAATTTAAATTGTGCTTTTAATGTTAATCACGGCGCTAAAGTTTCGTTCACAATTGACGGCTGGACCATCATTAATTGTAAACCTTATGGAATAACAAATCAAATCTTTATGATACTCTAACAATTACTCAAATTTCTACGACTAATATTGTGTTTGATAGTAAAGCAATACTTACGGATATTTTCTATACTATAGCACGTTTTGTGCAGCGTTCCTGAATAAAACTCGAGGCCGATGATGGCGAATATCACAATGGCGAAAAGAACCAACAATCCAATTTGTAACAAAGGTGCCATTGCCTTGATGATGGATTTGAGTACAACCTGCAGACCTGTTTTAAAAAAGAAAATTTAATTATTCTTTTGTTTGATTTCAATCTACAGACATTTTTTTATTACACTACATGCAAAAGGTCTATCTGCTGATTCTACGGTGCAGTAAGCATTTGTCTCTAATATTGAAAAGCTTCTAAAATTATTAAATTGAATCGATTTCAAAGTGAAGAATATGAAATAATTATTATATTGTTAGAAATAGAAAATAAAATAATAATTTAAAGAATTTAAATTATCAAAGTTTGCTCCTTATTCTAACAGAAACGTTTGCCCTTCGGACTTAGAAAATTGAGGTACATACAATATTCCCCCTAATTAATTATTTATAGAGAATTAATTAGGTGAGAGTATATAGTTGGAAAAGAACTTGTTGTTGAATTATTTTTGGAAATAAAAAAAGAAAGGATAAAATAAGTTAAGGGAGTAAAGTCAATAAAATGTGTTAACAACTAAATATATTATTCACAAAATACAATACTCTTTACTAATTGCTTGTTTCATTCGTACCATAAATAAATTATTCTAGAACATAAATTGCGAATAATAAATTTTATATCTCAATGAAATGAAATAGCAAGGTATATGTAGTTATATGTAATTTGTTCTGTGCCACTGGTAAAAATTTCAGACTAAGTTCGTTCTAATTTAAGAGAAATTATTTTGCTTAAATTTGTAAATTGTACGAAAAAAGTTCGAAATGGATCCGCATGAAACCTTTCTGCAACAATCCGAATACAAAAAAAGAAAAAAAATCAACAATAACTGAGCCTTCCAATCCTAAATATCGCCCGACGCTCGAATGCATGCTCTAATAGCAGTCGGGTATGTATCTGAAACATGAGTAACTTAACATTTGCAAACTAACTAATTAATAACAGTAAAGTAATCAGAAACGCGAGTAATTAACAGTGGATGATCCGTTGTTCATCACCACCTATCTATTGCGACTCTATGCAGTTAACGTTTTCATTTATTTCCGTCTGAATCTGGTGCATTGTCGGTTTCCTATTTTACGGAACTATAGTCTAGAATTCATCCCATGATCTATCGTGACTGACGCGACCAAGACGTGCACTCTGAGGAACTGAATCTGACTTCATTAAGACAGAACCAAAACTCAAATATAGTTTTCTTATCCAGGTAGCATCCTGAGATAAGAACTCATCTCCGTGGCTTAGTCTTTGGTGTAAGAGTCTTTGGGTATAGAAAAATTGCTAAGACCGGGAGAAGGTGTCCACCGGACGCAGTAGATCCTACAGCCAGGTGTACGATCCTTGCTTCAACGATATCGTTCACCTGGAATGAAAGTATTGAGGCATAGGGAGTGAGTTCGTAGCCTCCCTTCCCGAGAAGCTCCTCGAAGCATGTTAGGCAACGAACTGAGGAGTTGGAATCGCGATCGCGCAGCGACGTTTAAAAGGTTCGCTCTTTAGCGGCACGAAGAGAGCGACTTATTCCGGATGAGAAAACCTGACAATAAACTAAGACTATTAAGAAATAGTTTTTAATTAACTACTACAGAAAATGGATTATTTGCTGTCTTGAACAGACTAATTTAACATTCACTATTTGCACACAATCGGAATTACTCTGGATCAGACCAGTCTAGTTTTGGATTCACTAGCTATTCACAAATAGTATCGATTTGTGCCTTAACCGGAATAATAGGTGACAAAAACTTGACCTTAAACTGCATTGTTTCGGACTAATCCGCCATTAGTCATCAAACTGATTAGAAATCTGTCTGAAATTTTAACTAGGGATCACAATGTCAAATGTAATTTTAATAATTGGTTAGTAGGATTTAACGATATTTATTTTTATTAGAATTAGAAACTGAAATTACTCTGAACGAATAGCTTTTCTGAATTTGTGTTCCTAATTAAATTAATAATTATTATTAATGTTTCCGTTAATGGCTGATGTTGAAACAAAAAATTCTCGATTCAGGATGGATATTTCCTGTGATGTAATATTAAAATGGCGTTATGTGTAAAAATAACACTTTTCAAATCGATTCTTTAAAATCTGTTACGCTTTTGCTTATTAATTTGTTTTTTGCAAATAATTTGCATTACAATTTCTCATACAGCAATTAAACTTCCAGCAATATCTTAATGTTTTAGTAATGATCGTAATGATATTTTTTGAATACTGTGAATATTGTTGTGAGTTCAAGTGCTCTGAGAGTTTTTAGTTACTATATATGGCGTGTAAAATAAAAAAATGCTTTATATGTGCTTGTTACACAAGAAAACTTGTGTTTGCATTTTTTGTAAATATACCTTTAGTTTGCCTCTTTTCATTGATCTTCTTTTTGATAATTAATAATAAATGGAATTTTACTCACTCGGTATGCCGGAGACTAGTTTGAGCGGTCGCAACACGCGTATTGCACGTAACGTTCGTAGATCCATATCCAGATTTATGCCATGTGGGAACGCCGTGATGAACCTGTCCCAAACACACACGCCGCTACATTTTACTACTTACTACTCTATTAAACTACACATCTACAAGTAAATTAATTTATACTAATCTACTAATAACGACTAGTTCGTCTAGTCTAATATATATATTATCGTTAGAACAAGAATTATTGCAGTTATTAAGCTTTTGGAATATTTTTCATTTAAACTGTGGCTTTTAATTATTACTTTAGATAAATAATTGATTGCACCATAATACATACAATTCTAATTTATTTTTTTAAACAACTATATTTTTTGAAATTTGTTTATCCCAATAGCACAACATGTGGCAACAATATTGCAAAGAAATATTTGGAATAATTCCATGATACTGTGCATAATAACTTTTACTGCAAATCGTTTTACTCTGGACTGATAAAAGGATTTCTGTCAAAATGTTTCTAGTTTATGATATGTATATGAATACATTCGTATGTCACGAACTAAGAATATTTGATAGAAATGACATGATTTCTCAAAATTCCGCCAAACCGGAAGGACAGCATTAAAGTATCTGAGTGTACGTAGTAGTTCACTAACTTGTAATTAATTGCGTATGACAAGAGCGCATGACCTGAGTGTCAGTTACTAAACAATTTCGTGAGGTTTTTGATAGATTGAAAAATCGTGGGGTTAACAACATAATTCGTCGACCCCATGGTTCAAGTGCTGCTTAGGTTTATTCTACGCCACCTCAGTAACCTTGCAATTAAGAGGGAACTTTAATTTTTACAAGATCACAAATTTACTACCCCAATATGAAAATTATATTCTCGCAGCTAACTTGATTTACCTCTAAAATTAGAATACTGATATGTTCAGTTCAGGGTACTTTAATGTTTACTTTTATCGAGGAAGAACCCTGTAATAAACGATGCTGTCAACTATCTTTTAAAACTAGCTGAATTTCATTCTATTTAATCCCAAAGGCACCCAGTGAACAAAGAGAATGTCTTCCAGTCTTAAATTCCTGAGATATACTTCGACGAATTCAAGACTGGTCGCGCGGGAATCATATACATTAATTTAGGTATTAAAAGCCCCTACTTTCCTAGGATGACACATAGAATCTCGTACCTAGGAATAGTTGCAAGATTTCTCTGTGATGGTGAGTTTTTAATTTTCCGAGCAGAGAAGCTCCTTAAATCAGGAATACCATCATCGTCAGCAGGAAAGTGAATTGAGGTACTCTTCCTCTTCCTCGACGGGGAGGACACTCGCTTAGCTTGTATTTAAGACAGTACTGGTAACAACCAGCTTCTAGCGAGTCGCTGGATAGTAGGAAGCAAAAGGCGCGTTATGGGTCACATGGTAGATCTGCCTTCGCGTCGACTTTTCACTGGGGTTCTACATGAAAGCAGAATCGTGAGTCGCAGCGAATGTCGTACCCCTACCATTCCATCTACCCAATGCTTTCCCCTCATGACATCACAACAGGGGAATGCATTGACTAGATGGAATGATGAGGATACGACATTTGCAGCGACTCACGATTCCGCTAAAATGTAGAATTCTAGCTACGCGAGCCTTGTTTAATGTTATGAGTATACTACGTTTTTCTATATTCTAACTCACACAATATTATACCCCATTTACAGTAACTGTTTCCAGAAGCGGATCCAGCATTTACAATAGGGGGTTGTCAGCTTATATAAATATTTCAGAATTGGGGATGTCAGCGAATATAGGTATATAAATATATAACAACATTAAATTGAGTGTGTTAGCGATTCTCTTCAAAAATTTTCTCTTCAGGTGGTTCCGGCCCAAAGGAAAGACAAAGCAAAAGCGGAAAAAGTCCCTCCATCTGAGTAAGACGGAGGGAAAACAAAACTGTCCGTCGTTTTCCAAGAATCGAACAGATCACTTAAAGAGATAATTAAAAACGAATGTCAAATTCGAAGTTTTTATACCTTTAGGGTATAATTTTCGGTTATAAGCAGAAAACTTAATACAAGCGACAGTTTTAATAATAATGGAGGTTATAAGCTATTAGAATTCACCTTCAATCATTCTAAGTGTGTGTACAAATTTTACGTCCATGTAATTGAAAGGACAATTTGAAATACACTGACACCATAAACCTTTTATGCACCCATAACTTCAGGTACTCAAAGCGCGAAAACGCTATAGTGTTAATTTTAGGAATTAATTACTTTTAAGTAAGTGTCTTACAATTAGTATGACATACGCGCAGCTACATTCTCGTCGGGTTAAAGTTTAAAACTTGTGCTGCACTGGGATTTTTGGATTTGCGTATTCACCACGACGCCCAGTGCGGTATTTCGCGAATTTCGTATTGACAGATTGACACTCCCAGTGCTATGCGAATTACCCAATTAATTTTTACAGGGTACGGGTTTCAAGAGAAAAATAGCATCGTATTTACATAATTAACTTTTACCTCACTCTACCCTACCTATATGTAAAATAAGTTTACTGAATTTATTTTTCATTTGTCTTTCAAAGTTTTAGGAGAAATTGAACAAAACACAAACTTTCATGGTAGCAGTCACTTTCGAAGAACTTACAGTCGAGATACATATATGCCATATGAAAAGTAAGTGAACTACTATACACATCAGACTCAAAAATATTCGCTTCGCAATTCAATACATTGATCTCTTGTAGTAAATCCTTCATGGAATAAAGACAGGGTAGATTTCAAATCAATTTCGGCAGAGTGATTTATGTTGAAAGATAGTTACCGAATATCCAACAGTTTTGTCTCGAATTCAAAATAAGTATTGGAACCATAATTGATTAGACTTTAAAATATAATTACATTTTAGTGGATATTGAGGTCTACTCTTTCAGTTTTCAAAGAGAATTGAGATTGAAAAACAAATTTTTAAAAAAACTTCTTGGTTGGCACGAATATGTAATGGTTATATAATTTTTATAAAACAATATAAATATATATCATATTACGTTATAGACTTGTAGAGTATTCAAAAATTATTATTATTATTATTATTCAAATTCAATTTTCATCACGGTATGGGACAGCTACGAACATTTGTTAAGTTTAAAAATTCTATAATTTTGAGTTAAAAGGAAGATCATATAAAATGATTGTAACATTGTTATAGCATAGCGTTATTTTACGTTATAACGTTTACAACTAATGCGTACTAAAACGTATGTTACACATTAATTCTATAGTAAGTATATATATAAAATTTTATTAAAAACTGTTTTTTCATACACTAATTCTATAACAAATACACTACAGTTGTAACCTAATAATTTAAAGTAACTGTTCTAGCACCATTATGTAATGCCATTGTAACTTAGTTACAGATCATTGATACTTCCCTGTTTCATGTTTATTGTATATCAATATTGTAAATTTATATAATTATAATCAGACTTTTGTCTGTATCTTTTTTAAAACTGAAAAACTAAAATATTTTGTATTGTTTGGAACGATAAGGAATCAGAAAATGACCATAGAGAATTTGGTGTTCGTATGTATGTATTTACCATGTGGGTCCAACAAAACTAACGCATATAACTACGCTATATTTTTCGCGACAAAAACTGAAAAAGTCAGGTAAAGATTCCATGGGTTGCTGTCAGGTTAATTTCAACTTTTAGAAAAACTTTCGGTGCTGTGTGGGATGTTGTACCATAAGTGTAACAAGGATTGTTTATGACCAAACAAATAGTTTCTACCTCATACGGTTTAGACATTTATTTAGTATCTGTTGTAGGGTTGTCGATTACTGACTGCTTTACTTTACACCTGGGTAAATACCAATTTGTAAACAATTATGAAAGAGTTTTAGCAATACCTTTAGGATTGTATATCCAAAGATCTTTAGTCGTTGGATATACCATAGCTTACAGAAATATACCTTCAGTGTTTCGAAATTTAAAATGTGTTCCCAAATTGGATGAGAAGATTTTATTAACGCGTTCCAAAGATTCAACTTTTTGGCATCTTTTGGAAAGAAGAGAGGCTGTTAATGATTTGGTTTTTATGCTCAAAAGAAGAAAAAAAATTGATTGTGAAAGTGAAAGCTTCTTGCGTTAAAACAATAAAAATTCACGAAGAACCAGTTAAAATAGAAGTACAAAATAAATAAACAGAAAAAGTACAAAAGAACTTGGAGAGATACACATATAGAGACATAGCATCAAAAGTTTCAAGTCAGCTCCCAGATGAGCTACTTTAGCTGTTTTAATTAGGGATGGGCGATTTCGAAAAAAGAATCAACTTTCAAAAAGTATCCATTCCAATTTAACGTTCCTACAAGATTCAGTTTCATTAGAGTTTAGCTCTTTGTCGACAACGTCAAACAATAACTATACTCTTAAGTGCCAGCTGGGGATACGAAAAGCCACGACTCTTTTTTTTCAAGTGTTTTTTTATTTTATAATTTATTCAAGTAAAATCTTAATAATTTTTGTCAGTTCCCTCTATTGAAGTGTAGTCATTATGGTAACCCCACTTTTAAATGGTTTTGAGCACAATTCTGATGTCCGAGGGAGTTTACGAATGTTTTTAGAGAACAAATGAATAATGTCAATTTAGATTTCTATTGACACTGAGATATTTATTAATTTAAATTTAAGTTCGAGGAACTTTCCTAAAACGTTGCATGTAAATCACATTAACATTCTAAATAAATAAATAATGGGTTCTTTGAACGTAAATTCTTTTTGTCCATTGGGAACTTTAATTGTACATAAAGTAGTGATTAAGAACCTTATTCACTTAGACACCATTGTGCATTTTCATACTTTCAAAATGCGAGAATTACAATAAACCCCTTAATATTCCCCCTAAATTATGTTATTATATCAATAATATTTTTATGTTACTACACAATAATTTTATTTCCTATAATCTACGCTTTTTAAAAATAAGTTTTAAACTTGATAGGTATTTATAACAATTTGTTACCTATTGACTGTAATATAAGCTAGTAAAGCTATTATACTCTATAAAAATATGTTTTTCTACTATTATTAATATTTAGATCACAATATATAATATTTTAGTAAACTAAGTAAGGCTACTAATTTTCAACATCAGATCGATAAGATTTTATTTCGATCGAATGTAATTTCCAATTGTTTTTGATACTAAAGAAATAAAAAATATAATTTCGATGATTTTACGTACTATAATTAATTAAAAAATATATATTGTTAAATAGTGTATTACATTATAAGGGCAGAAAGATTGAAATTTCAGTACTGTGCAGTTTAGGACTTTTAAAATTTCTGTCCGTGTAATGTGTACCATTCTTTATATATCGAGCTTTTGTCAATTTTCGTTATTTTCAGTAGGATACAATTTTTTTCTAACTTATTTTAGTTCCAAAAGCTTGGGTCTAAAATAAATTTAAAAAAACATTGTCTCAGTGAAAATAATGACAACTGTCAAACTCCAATTATGTGAACAATTACCTTATTACATCTAGACAATCTAAAACAAAGATACTTCCACATAAAGTAAAAATATCTACACGTATCTATATGTTTATTTAATCTAATACATCAACTAACGCTAAACTGATTATATTGTCACTTATAGATAGTAATTAAAAATGAAAGAGGTTTATCAAACTTACATTTTGAGCGAAAAATCTTTTATTCTAAAATCAGTTACCTGTTGTTCTAATTTGTTGAAATATAGCAGACATTTAGAAACGTATTCACTGTAGTTTAGTAATAACTAAACTGATTGACAAATTTTTAAAAATCTAGTAAATTAAATAATTATATTTGCCTAAACTAGCTAATCAGTTCCAAATTGCTAAAATATGTAGTTATTGTAAAGAACATACAATGGGATTTCTAGCTTAAATTTATAACAATTTCTCACTTTCGCACAATTTTACTGACTCACTTGGAATTTTTGAAACTAGCTTTAGAGGTCTGAGGACTCTGAAGGAACGTAGCATTCGAAGGTCCACGTCCACGTTTGTTTCAGCGAATACGGTCATCGACCTAGTCCAATAATAATTCTAGAATCTATGTTGTATGGAAATATTTTTTGTATCTACATCTATGATATTGTATATATTAAAATACATTTTTTCAGAAAAATGTTATTTATATTCTATACAGCTTTTACAATATAATTAGATATATATTTTTCTTTTAATTAAATTTTTTGTTCTGCAAGTAAAAGATTAAAATTGTAATTCACTAGGATCACGTTTTACAGTCTTTGGATACTTTTCATCTAAAGTAATGGAATGGACATTTTCTTCGACTTATCGAGGTTCACCTTGTCGAGGTTCTACTGTAGTGATAGAAGTTCCGAAAGAATTTCATAGAATAAGGCACACTGCAGTACTTACAGAACAAGATAAAGATATGGACAGACTAGTAAATATGACTTGACAAGAGCCACATATAGAAGTAATAATAAATGCTGTAGGAAAAGTGCATAAAGTGCAAAGATATCGATCATAAGTCGTCTGATTGAAAGAAGCTTCAAACCTCCTTCTTATGTACAGAAATACAATGCGAGAAGAAGAATTTTAAATATGTCGCGAATTAATTAATTCAAATTATTAATTTAAAAAAACATGGTTAAGAGATTTATGTATTTCAAGTAATTTAATTTAAGATGAATTATTGATACTTAATATACAATATACTGAGAATGCAAATCTTACCCAGTTACAACAACAAAAAAGTCCATGATATTCCAGATGTTACGAAGATAGGAACCACGATGGAGAACGAAGCCTAGTGCAAGGATCTTCAGGCTTGCTTCTACGCAAAAAATCCCGAGAAAGTAGATCTCTGTAGACTCGAGTTTTTGTGCGAGCACGGTTTTATCATGGCAGGGGAGATGTTCCTCGAGTGCAAGCACCACGCAGTTTGCAATAATGGTAAGAAGGACGGCGTACTCGAAGGGAGGCCACTCAATTATAAAACGTGTGTGTTTTCTTATGCAATTTTCTTCACTCAAAATAAAGAGCGAAGAAGGGCCCCCCGACACGCCTGTCCCCCCTCCTTGATCCCGTGCTGGTGCCATTTCTACCACGCCAAATACCTAGAAAACAGAAAAACAATTAGTCAATATTAAATACTTTCTAATTTTATTTTTGTTATATTTAACGAATTGTATGTCATTGTATGTCTTTCGGCCTTTACAATCTCCTCAACATCATTGCTAAACTTTTCCAAATCACAAACTCTTTGAGGTCCCTACTTTTCCGGCTGCAGCCAATTTTCGCTTAATATCTTACTAATCTGCTAGATGGTAACATTATTAGAATGGGATCATAAAATCGGGAACAGAGATGGGAAAATAATCCTAGGGATACTGATTGCGCCTGATATAATGTGGACCCCAAGACTTCCTTAGTTAGATCATCTGTTATGGAACGGAAAAGGAATTGAGGGTTACAGTCTAATATCCGCAGAACAGTAAGTATCTGGCTAGCTGCGATGTTGCTGAACAACATTCTGAAGGATAAAAAATTATATTGCAACTTTAAAGCGCTTTGAAATAGTAGCAGCCACGGCCAAACGCTAGCAGGAGATCATAATTGTTGCTGAACAACATCCAGCAAAAATCTGCCAACTTATTAACGTCCCACCGTCCTTGATAACGAGTTTCAACAACTTTAATGTCTTCGTGGAATGTACAAAGTACAAAGTACAAGATCTTCATATTTAGAAAAATGTTTCCGAAAGTTTGTCTCTCGATTCTGATATATAGAAACCCTGGTACCTGTTTCTAGAAAATCATGCTGCTTTATTAACGAAGCCAAAAACCCCACACTGTCCTTTGGCAAACCTAAGTTTCGTATAAGGTCATCTAATACAGGCTGTGAAACCAGTTTTGGGACAGATTCTTTAGTGTCTGCAGAATAGTCAGTGTCGCTCTCAGACTCGTATTCATCAACATTCAGCAATTCGTTATTTCTCATTGCCTTAAGGTCATGTTATTTAGTGGTCACGTGCTCCATATATTTTACTATGGGAACACGTGACCACTGAATAACATGACCTTAATGCCCTCGAAATCAGTTTCTTCTTCGTTGATGGATAGAATTAGATCCTTTACTGATGTCACTACTTTATAAACGATGTTGTGTTTGTTCTTAACACTGTAATTCTTACTAACTTTATTCAAGCAAAAAAGTAATCTTCTTTACAAAGAGGTTTCTTCCATTCTACTGGACTGAAAAATTTAATTGCTTTTTTGTCTTTCTTCCTACGGTTAAACATTGATTTACAAGAATAACAAATTATATTGGGAGTCCTTGCAGCGTAACACGTTTTCTACGTGGGTCTGCCATGGCGGCAACAACAGTGGCGGATCCAGACAAGGTTTTTTGGGGGGGCCATCCATTAAAAAAAATCAATATAATGTTATCTCTTTCTATCTCATAGGAATATTTGACTTTAAAGTAGAATTCAATTATGATTTTGTTTTTCCATAAAAACAACATAGAAACATGTTAAATTAGTGACTTCACTAAAGGAAGATATCACTTCGCACAACTATACGATCAGTTTCGTATTATTTATATTATAATGTAAACAATAAATGTAGTACATACCTCCCCTCCCAAACTAACTCAGTCACCGAGTCAATTCAATCCGGCCAATCTCTTCCTTCACCAGTACTGACTTGAGTATCCAGTGTCCCTGTGAACCTCCTCTTGTACTTCTGCCAACCTGTTCAATAAAATTGAAATAATGTATTTTTATATACAATTTGTAAAAGAAATTGGTTCATTAAAATTTTATATCAAGCATTTAGGAAATTATTCGCAAAAACAGGGCTATTAGGATTCTTAGATTAATAACGTAAAAATCGTTATCCAGTTATTTATTAAGCGGGGTAAGGCTAATTTGGTCAAAAACTGCATATTTTTAAGAATTTTTTTGGCGATATTATTTTATCAATTTTTATATAATACTAATTATGTAAAGAAATACTGTACCAAATTACAGAACGATTGGTCCAGTAGATTTTGAGTTATGGCGTACACGGGCTTCAAAAACAAGTTTCTACTTTACGTAGTTCTATATACACCAATATTGCTATCTTTAAAAAAAGTTTTTTTAACCAAAATTTCAGAAATTAAGGTTTTTTATTACAGCGATTTTAAAGTGAGAGTAAAAAACTTATTTTTTTCAAGAACAATTATTTTTTTCATTTTGCGACTATTTTAATAAAGAATTTTCTTCAAAATTCTTTTGTTAGAACCGCAATTGAGAAAGGAATAAGATTCTCCAGGTTTGATTCATCAGTTCATTCATCACAATATTTTTTTTAAACCTGCCCAAAAATCACAGCTGAATAAAAACCAACAATTTTATTTTAGTTAACCTGACAAAGTTGGACAAATTTTTTCAATCGAAATAAACTATAATATAAGAAATAATTATTTTTAGTTTAAAAAACAGTTATTTTAATTTATTGTCAAAAAAATTGTAAATTTTGATAAAATTTATTTTTCTAGTAAAAATGTTAAAAATAATTTTTCATTTTCATAAGTAGAATAAAATTTTTGCCTATACTATATAACTTCCATATTTACGGAAAGACAACTGTTGCTAACCTTATTTGATTGTTTACACTTTTAGAAAAAATAAAAATTGCATGTCCTTCACATTTTTGTTATTTGATTTTGCACACAAAATTTTAAAATATGCGCGCTTTGCTTTTTATCTGGTAAGAACAAAAACTGCCTCACCATCAGATACTTAGCAGAAGATAACAACGAATCGATTCAATGGAAGGATAATAAAATGAGTAAAATAAAAATTACTTTCATTATGATCATGTATTTTCCCTTTTTTGGATGACTCTTCAGGACATTTGAATTTAACTTTTGATGACCAAATTAAAAAATATTTTTTAATGCAACTATACATGGATAAAAAAGTTATAAAATAAATTTTTAAATGTCCGCAGTTTTTCAATATTGAGCTCAAAAGTTGAATGAATATTGCATGAAAGTTTAAAAATTTTTTTAATTTAAATGAATTTTTTAACAAAAAGAGGAAGTTTAGGGAAATTAAAAAAGTTTTAAACTTTATAAAATTTATCTATTGAGTAGAAACATTTGTAAACATAAAATGAACAATGAATTACAATTCTGACGGACAATCTCCTCAGCGAAAGAGGTATATCATCTATACTGCTGCTTCCTCCATCGTCCTTGTCCACTTGTGATCATCTTCTATAAACCCTAATGCTAAGCACGCAGAAGTAAAAGTTTTATGAACTACTCCATTCACTTTCTGAACTCTCAAATGAGATAACGCCTTTGACTTTAATCAATAGTAATCTCATATTAAACAATAAATATGATTTTTCAATTTATCAAAAAATTTAGAGGTAAATATTACAATATGCTTATTGCGCGTTAGAGTGCCACTATCGCACTTGTAGGCAGATTTATAGTTAATAAATATTTGGCTTCCTAATAGGAAGCTTTCGAGTGATATCGATTTCCGAATTTCTGAAAATCAATTCTTTTAAGAAATCTTCAAGTGTGGTGTATATATATTTCGAGGCAAAAGTTCAGGATTAAATCCTGAACAAAAAAAAAAAAAAAAAAAATCCATAACCGGTTTTCGGTTTCTGAAAAAACCGGTTCTTAAGTCGGTTTTTGGTTTTAAAACTAAACCCGGTATTTAAAAAAAACGGTATTAGACTTTCTTACAATATTTCAGCTCAATTTATTAAATATTTAAAGGGAAAAGTTGTCGAAAAAATTACCATTAAATTCATAACAGTCACATGCTGTTAAGTAAAATATCAAATTTTCATGTTAAAATTTTAAAATGTAATATGCATAAATAAGGATTAGGGTTAAAATATTTATTAAAACACTTTTCAGAAAAATTAATTTTTTATTTTGGTTTTGGGACATGTTTTTTGAAATCGGTTAGATTCGGTATTGCGTTCGAATAACCGGTATTTTCCGAAAAACCGGTTTTTAAAAAACCTTAAACCGGGAGTTCATAACCGGAAACCGGTTTCCAGAAATACCGAAAAAAAACCGATATACCGGTTTACCGCACAGGCATAAGAATCACCGTTCCTTGCAAACAGATTTTCTCTTGAACGTTTTTGACAGATTGTCCCAAAATTTTGTAAGAATATTGCGATCAGTAATATCTAAAATCAGAACAAGGGTTTACTAGAGCAGTAGATTTATAGAACAGTGAACGCTGGAAATACATAGCGAGCGGGATATTAATTATCTTCCAACCAATTTAGAGAAAAAATTATAATAATAAAATATAGAATTATGCTTATAATAAATAATTCAATAATTCATATTGCATATAAATTATATTAAATTCATTCAAATTGTATATAAATTTTGAGTTTTCTGCAAGGTTGCTTTTTACGAAGATTTTTCATCAATTTATACGCGAAATATTCTAGATTTTTCTAAATCTCTAGCCAGAAAATCTTGACACTATCAAAATTAGAACCTGCGGGCACAGAAACTGCGCTCAGTTGCTAAGGAAAGAAACTAATCAGCAGTCGAAAGTTTGAAATTTTTTAATTTCCTCTGAGATGGATTAAATGAATGCTTAAATTATCAACTGTAGGACCCAGAATTCAAAGATGATTTATAGAATGAGAGGAAACCTATTTTTTATAAAGAAATCGCTATCACAAACAGTCAGAACTGCTGGGATGGAGAGCGCATAGTAAAAATCGATTTCCATCACTGGATTTGCTTGGAATTTGTTACTTGGGGGATTCTAAGTTTATTCATGACAAATCAAAAGTTTGATTAAAGAAATTCAAAGTCCCCTATTTGAAATGGCGTTAAATTTTTAAAAATCAGTGAATTTCAGATATTCTAGATGCCATTTTAAATCCAGCATTTTGGATTTCTTTAATCTAACTTTTGATTTGGCATTAGAAACCTCAAAAAGCCCCAAGTAAGAAATTCCAAGCAAACCCAGTAATGGAAATCGATTTTTACCATGCGCTCCCTATCCCAGCTGTTCTCACTATTTGTGTTAACGATTTCTTTATAAAAATAGGTTTCCCGTGATTATCAATCATCTTTCAATTCAGTGTTTTAAAGTTGATAATTTCAGCAATCATTCAGTCTGTTTTAGAGATTTTTATTATGGTGTGCTTTTAATTACATTGCTTTAAACAGTTGTAAAAATGCATTTTTTAACACTTTAATCTCGCTTTTTACGAGACTAACCGAATGAAAAAAATTGTTGTGCATATTCTTGTTCAGTGACACCTGAACTTTTAATAAACACAAAAATTTTTAAATGAACATGACATCAACATTTTATTGTATCCCACTTTCATATTTTTAAATCGAAGATTTTTTTACAATAAATATTTTTTATTCTATAAACAATTTAAGTCGTGAATTTTGGTCAAAAATCGATACCTCTGCTTTCAGAAGACGCCATTTTGTCAAAACTTATTATTTTGTTTATTCATTTGATTAATCACAGGATAATCTATTACATTTGCGAAAAATTTTTGGGCTTTTCATTTTAGATGATCCAGTCTAGAAATATCCTGCTCACCGCAAGATGCCTCGCTTCGGAGGAGCTCCGCACATTCTTTATAGAAGTTTTAAAAAAAATTATTTTCATAAATAAAATATGTCAAAATAAAGTTCAAAGTACCCTTTCTATGTGCATTAATTTTTAAATTGAAATACTCAATAGTTTTCTCAGAAAAAATTCCTAAAATATCGACTTTCATTGGCTGTCTAACTGGATGTAACCGCTTAAAAGTTGATTTTTTTAACATTTCTTTCCTTCAAAAAATTTTTAGATTTTTTCAACAGTTTTACATAAATTTAATTTTGTTTTTCCCAGATTTCCAGACATCAGAAAATAAAAACTTGAAATAATTTTAAAAAATTGCGATTATGCTTTGTCAAAAAAATTAATTCTACAGAATTGTTAGTTAAAAGTATGAAAAATTCAAATTTTCAAAGATTTTAATTTGAAACCTTTACAAAATTCAATTATTTCTAAAAATTGCAATTATTAGTAACTTCTCCAAAGTTAAATCTAAAACTTTATATGAAATTAATTTTGAAATAAATTTTTATCAGAAAATTCTACGAGAATTGAATTATTTAATGTAAATACAAATAATGTAAATAATTTATTGAACAAGTGAATATTTCTTAAAATTTAATTCTTATATATAGAATTTTAGCAACAAATTTTTAAATAATTGAATTCTTTCGACGAATTTTAATAAAATTTTTATTAATAATTACATTTTTTGAAGAATTCGATTAAAATTGTATTAAAAATAATTAAAATTCTGCAATCAGTTTTATTATTTTATGAAAATAATAGAATTATTGCGAATAATTTTATAAAAAAAAGTTTAAAATAATTGTTTTTTTTCGAAAAAAGGTATTCAAATTCTATTTTTAATAATTTAATTCCTGTGAAATTTCCATTATTTTAGAAGATAATTGAATATTCGTTTAGACCTTTTTAAAAATTGTTTTTAAATAATTGAATTCTTTTGGGAAATTTTATTAAAATAGTAGAATAATGAAAATCATTGAAATTAGGAAAATTTTTGAAAATAATTGAATTTCTGCGAAGAATTTTATTAAATATGAAAATAATTGAATTCTTGTGATGAATATTGTTATTTATGAAAATAATTGAATTTTACAATAAATTTTATAAAAATT